CTAGGATTGCTTTGCATGTGATGAGGAGGATGCCCCTGGATTCACTAAGTGGCTAACCGACTTGGATCTCTCTTGGAAGGTATCCTGAGCACGTGTTGAATGGGCGGGGAAGTAACAATACATATAGATACATATAGTAAAAAAAATACTACACAATGATGCAGCAGCACTTCCTTCAAACCTTCTGGAAGCATCTTCTCAACACGCATTCGCACGTGTAACCACATGCAAAAGCCAGCTACGCAAAGGACCGAGGCTTGGACCAACATCTTCGCTACTCTTCTGAGGTGTTTGACCTCACAAGAGATCTTTGGCGGTTCCTCAATAGGGGAGTTTTCCCTGCATAAGTGGCTCAAGAAAGGTGAAACTCTGCTTCCTCGATCTGAGAAGAGAATGAAAAGACACGGCACAGGTACCGGACACTGAGGACAGGTCTTCCATATCAATTTCAAGTTTGATCACTCTCAACCAAGCTCAAAAATGTCTCTGGATTTATCTTTAATGCCCTCAAGGAATATCTCTCTCTCTCTCTCTCTTTGTATCGCTTTGTACCTATCTGTCTATCAAGCTAATTATATACCATTAATTACCTACGTGTCTCCCCCAGGAACGCCTCAACCTCTAGAGCAAGCAGGATCCAGCCATTCATCTATCACTATCTATCTGCATCTATATCTGCCCGTTAAAAACTTGTACGTTTCATCATGTTTCAGGCTTCCAGACTCGCTCTTTGGTCGATCTCACCTCCGGACGCCCACAGGACAACAACTCGCGAGCCTGAGACAATGGCAAATGCCAAGCCTTGGTACAGTAGACCAATATGGGTCATAGATATTCATAGATATTGCTACTATATGAATGATGTATATGTCGGTGTAGACTAGACTTCCCATGTAGGTGAATAGTTATGACAATACGTTGTTTTTTTGCATACCAGTAAAAATGTGTGGTCAGCAATGCTCTGACCAAACACTAACGCATGGTGGGATGTTGTTCCGCATCTCGGCCATGGATTGAAACTCCAATAGGTCCTCTGTGCTGCATGAATTATAATATCATTATTCACCAAAAAACACATGTTGCATAACATGTTGTGGCAAAACAACACAAAGGGGGAAAACAAACATGCTCAAAGCATGTCGAAGAATCACTCTTTTGATCCCAACATGACTGTACCGCTACATCTGTTACTCCTTTGGATGTACTCCCAAACCTTCTTTTTGCATTTCTTAGCCAATCACTAATATACACACTCTTCCCTGCCTCTGACTGCATAGATCTGAAAGATTCCGCTCGATCCTTGAGGGCCTGTCGTCGGAGAAGGAGAATCAAATAAAAGATCTCAAGGAAACGGTATCTGCTCTTCTGCTTCCCGCATGATGGAGGCCCCAATGGGCTCAAACACTTCCACAAAGGAGAAAACCAGAATCACAAACAAATCAAACAATACCCTGCAGTAGTCTCCACCCTCCCATGCCATGAGCCAACCGTCCTGGCTGAGAGACAACTCAGGAAGGAAGGCGAATCTGGCGAGGCGGCACAGCTGAGACGGCGAGGCTGCAATTGGGGCTATTGATTGCTGGATTCCAAGCCATTGAGATCATTGAGGCAGCGTGAGGGGCTTGCAACATCTTGCAACATGCTTTGGTGAACTTTGGTGTCTATAAATGGCCAAGCTCTCTCTCTCTCTCTCTCCCTCTCTCCATATAGCCTTCAGACCAAGCCTGCCTCACGCTGAGGGGCGAGGCGAATTGTAGGCACATTGCACTCCCATATATTCATGTGAAACGTCGTGAAACCATCACAAAAGCGATCCATTTCGACACCACGCTAGCCGCCAGCCTCTTTGATTCAACGCCCTGGCTGCTCGCCGCTGTCTCCTCCTGAGCAGCCAAACTCTTCAGAGTTCTGGCATATTCTGGCTCTGACTTTCGTCTTACTAGCTCTGCAGCTGCTTCATGTTTAATTTGCAAATATATAAAATGATAAAACTCTATGAATTGCAATAATACTGAAGCCTTCATTTGCCATCAATCAGGCGAAAAGCCTTTTCAAGCCGAAGATGATCTTTTCAATTTGCGTTGGAAATCTCTTCTGCGAAGCTGCATGCTTGTAAAATACGAGGATTTGTTTGACAGAAAAGTTTCCAGTTTCTTCATTGAGCTACTTACTCCCTTCTAACCCCCTGCAAATGCCTTCGGAGCAGGTTCCGGTGCTGCATCCTCAGGATGGATGATGTCAAAAAAAATGAAACAAAATGGAAACGAATATACGAACATCATTTCAAAATACTTCAAAGGATAGACCCCACAAGAATGACATCCTAGCAAGCCAATGGGACAATAAGAACCATCAACACGCAAAATGCCTGTTCAAAGATTTCAAGGCAGAATAGCGAGGAACTCAGTGAGGATTCTTTTGGCAACATGTCTCAAATTCGGAGTAGTAGGCATAGTAGGGTGTTAGCACGAGAGCATGTAAGCCTTGCAATGTAAGCACCCAAATGTTCAAACACTCGTGGTCCTGCAAGGAATATCTTCAAACTGCTGGTATGGGCATATTGGCTAGTGGGCGGCCAAAGGGGCTCACAAGCATGGCTGTTTGACCAATCAAAATTGATCAACTTTGGAGGGCCAGTAACTTTGAAACACTGTGATGTATCCTTGGTTTAAAATATTATAGAAACTTAAAATCAATTAACATCTATCTCTGGATACATCATGATACATAATTCTAGATTTGTTCATCCGGACACGACCATTCTTCGTATTTTCTTTTTCAAAGTTTCACGAGCTGCAAAAAAGTTTGCCAGGGTTCCAAAAATGATATGAACAGTCATCGCAATGCTCCCACTCTCTATATACATACAAGGATCTTTTGACCAACCACCATATCGATTATATTCATTTATTGAAAACCAATGAAGATGTGTCATGGCCGCACTCTTCGATACAACTATGCAAGCACTCATCGTGCAATAGCAAATTCCTATCAAAGAAATCTAAAGAACTCAGAATTTTGAGGACCCGGAAAGGAGATGAAAGGAGTTTGTCCTGGAAACTTTCCCAAAATTAAAATCACCACGCTTTGCTCTTCAGCTCTGAGGCCAAAGCTTTGTCTGGCACCTCTTTACCTGGTATGGTGAAGTGCATGAAGCATCATGACATGCGATATCATGCGATAAGCATTTGTCTGTCCGCCTCCAAGATCCTCCAAGCAAACAACACGAGAATGTCCTATTGCAATGTCAAGCAAGCAAAGGATGGCCAAGATCTTCGAAGGAAAGGAAGACCTCCGAGCCCAAGAAAACAAGCATTCATCAGCTGGCGACATTCCCGCCACTATTCCAACATCCACCCATTTCCCATCCACCTTGTTGATTTATGCAGCCCCTTCACATCACTTTGTAAGGAAACCACTGCATAGTCCCGGTACTCCATGTGCCAAGAGGCAGGGGTTCCGCTAGCACTGCTCGGGAGAGGGGCATCCCAACCTCAGGACACACCCAATGTTCACTGTTCAGTTTCAGGATAGACATGGCACATCATCGTATAGAACTGCCAAAGATGTGCAGAAAGTACTGGGACACTGCATCAAACTTTGCGCCCAAAGTAAATCTCTTGGGTATGTTCCTGTGCAAGGAGTCCTCCAGGCATATTATGCACAGTCTTTTATGCACCCTATAACACACACATATTATATATATATATACTAGTAGTATAATATGTATATATATATGTGATTATATATGTGTGTGTGAATCATGCATACATAGTTATACATACATATATAACTTAACATATATTATATACATATATATATATTATATACATAATATCATGTCATCACACTGCACTGGCCCATAATGGCGCATTGGTGTAATCGCACCCGTATGTTTCTTCTGACACATGGGCTGCTGATCGTTGAATTCTTCGCCACATAATTATATATCATATATTCAGATTCATGTCCTTCGCAACGTTGCTATGTTTGGCAAAACTATATATATAGAGTACTGTGAACAAATCCTATCATGCAGGAGGGGTGAGTTGCTGTGAGTTTCAAGGGAATGCGACATCCTGTGACTCGATATTATGAGAGTCACACACACACAAACACACACAGTGTGCACTTTACTATAAACATACTTAACATACTTAAATAAGAATCGAAATAATTTGAAGTCTAAGACACAGTCATGACATGGTGTGTGTGCCGTAGTCCGCCTGCTAGCAACCCTTGGGTTGACATTGATTTGGTCGCTAAATCCCTTCTCGCGACCTCTGTGCCCCTGGCGTACAAAGACATGGTCTTGCTCCCAACTTGACGAAGCCTTTGCTCCGCATGGTAAAGAAACATTTGGAACAAAACAACTCCAGGCAAGCAGCCACTGCTGTGTCGCGTCAGCTGTGTCACCAACATGATCATGTTGATACACTTTGATCATGCAAATGATTGCAATGCAAGTTGAAAAGTGTGTAGCACCAAACACTGGACTATGCAAATCTATACCGTGCTCAATCAAATTGGGCTCATCTGAGGTCTAAGCATCATCAGCTCCATCTTCCCCCATGTCAATCCATACATCACCCAAGAAGCGAGCATTCCCCTGGTCGACCACCAAAGAAGAAACAAACAATTCAAGAAATGCTATCTACCCACAATCAAGTCTTTTGTCAGGCAGTCTGGTTGGTGCAGTCAAAACCACAAATGCCCTGGATCCAAAATAATCCAAATGGTGGTCTGATCAAATAGGCCTCTGTTGCTTCGCCATTCGATGCTATCGGCTCCTCGCTTAGGAGATGTACTGTGCTTCACAAGCTTGAAAGGATGGCATGTTCTGGCATGTTCAAAGACAAAGAACAGCTGCCATGAAAGATAAAGTGGACAAATCGATTCTATTACTATATAATCTATATATAAATAAAATAAAGTACGGCAAGGGATTCCACACAACTATACAGACTATACATCTATAGTGAATTCGGCCAAAAAAAAGAAAAACAACATAGATAACATAGCAAGGCAAGTCTTTGTGCAAGAGCAGGTGCACAAATAAAAGAGAAGCGATTATCTGCCACAGATGGTGAAATGACCAAGATTGAACCTCGTCGAAAGGATTTCTCTTGCCAACAGCACCTGCAGCTAGTGCCCGTGTAGGTGTATGCGGCTGTATGCGTGTGTCAGATTGTTCCTCGGAAGAGTTTGCACAATGTAATGGAACATGTTTTGTAGATGATATGTAGATGATCTAGATCACTGATCACCATGACCGTCATGATGCGAGCTGCAAAATTAGTGAAATGTGTTGCCTCTGCAACCTGCAGAAACACAAAAGAAATCCCTTGTCAGCATGGCACAACTTCCAATACAACTACTTTCAGCGCACTTGTGACTGCCTTCCTAACCGTCCCCCTCATTCCCCTGCCCCTGACTCAAGCAAGTCAAAAGATTCCAAAGCCACATCGAGTATATGCCGGCAGCGAAGCACTGTTTAGACTAAAGTTTGTAACATGTTGAAGCCATGTTTAACATTGTTTAACCACTTCCAGCCAAGCTGTAAGCGTTTCCCTCCAGGCCTAAGAGCAAACCTTGGCCAGGGCACAAAGCAACACAAGGAAAAATGCATAGATGGCAATGCAAAATTCCAATAGTAATATTCCATACCTGAACACATGCCGTCACATGCCATCAGTGACTGTCAAGCTCTGCAATCTTCATAACATATTATATGCAGGAGACAGCGTCTTAGGTGTAGAATTGCTTTTCTTGAACCAATCCTTCAGCCAGGGTTGCTTTACACATCGTTGCACATTTAGACTGACCAGTCTACAGGCATCATCAGGCATCATGGCGTCAAACTGAGGGAAATAACCCAACGCTTTGATGGTTTCCGGGGTCTCTTTGATGTACATTCGACCTCAGGGGGCACAAAAGTTCCTGTAAATGCTTGCAAATTGACAGATTCAGTTTGAGATTGACACATCACCCTAGGTTTCAAGCAGAAAGTTGGGAGCGAAAACCGTTCGCCAAAAACATGCAAAAACCCTCTCTGAGGTGGTTGCATGCGCTAGAGGACCTGGGTTCGGAATTGGTTGTGGTATGGGATGGCGAAAGCCATTGAAGACAGAAACCTCCATTCACATACCATGTATATATGCACCTTGAACATTTATCAAACAAGGAACAAGGATTTCATCAAGTGGGGACCTGACTGGGGTGACAAGGATGGTGTGAGGCATGGAAAGCAATGCTTAGAGGGTCGTCGCGCCAAGAAGGATGCCATAAGCACAACCAGGGATCTTGCTTGCTCTTGTCCTTCTTGTCTTTCCCTGCATCTTTGGCTGAATCTTTTCCTGGCTTTGTTTGGGCTACTGAAGGTGATACTCCAGCAGTTAAAACTGCAAGGATGTTCAACGCAACAACCTGACACCCCTTCCCACATTGAGAAGCTGAATAAAGCTAAGGCAAGAAAGTTATGCAATTGGCTCAGAATGGCTCAGAAAGCCTAGCACGAACGTGCCAGTTTTACTTTCACATGAAAAAGTTCCCAAGGTGTCCAACCGTCCTTGTCCACTACTCTGAGGTGCCAATCAACTACTGTACATCTCTATCTGAAACTGTTCCCCGTTTAGTATATTATTGTTCAACCTGCCTTCCTCCTCATCTGCAACTTCAAAGGCGTCTGACCTGATCAGCTTGCCTTCTGACAGCTTTGAGATCAGCAGCCTTCTGCCATCTTCTGCCCTATGTATGCCATGAACGCCAGAAGGTGTGTGGGTGTGTTATGTGTTGTGTGTCCGCCACAGGAGTCCAGTGAAGCTCTTGGCATCCCTGGCACGGCCCTTCGAAGGTCGTTAACCTCGAGTCACGTCAGCAATGAGAAACAGGACTGACATGGCATGGAAACATAATGAAACATCAGCACCACAGGAAATTTTCATGAACACATAGAGAGACTCTTTATAGCTATATAGCAATGTAGCGAGATTCTTGAGGTTCGCCGCAGCATGACATCTGCCATCCCGAAGGCTCGAATTCTTCAATTGCAGTAATTTCAACTATATGCATCCGCCTGGAAGAAGTAGTAAGCGAAGGCTGCTGCCAAGCTGCTGCTTCGGACACTTCTTTTGACACATATAGCTGTTGTTTACATACATTACACATTCGATGTCATGACAGTACATCAATCTTAAACTGATCAAAGTTCATCGTCTGGACCATCATCATCCAGAATCATCCACAATCTATGCCCATGCGAGAAGCTAGATCTCATCAGTGCGATCACCTAAATGGTGGTCAGCCTTTGGAGGGGTCCTGCATGGGTCCTGCGACCACTTCATCAAATGCCATGGCTGGTGCACACGGCAAACCGCCCGCCCGCCGAAATACAGAACATTTTGTGAAACCTGGTGCCTTCATCACTTTTATAGATCATCCACAAGTCATCCTTGATCGCACTACAATCTGACTAACAGTAATCCCATCATCCACAAGGACCCGGCACATTGGAGGTCATCGAGCGATAACTTACGCTTGCCGGTGATGGGGAGAACCCATCGAGACTCCTGTTGTGCAAAATCAAAGGCCAGGTTCCAACATGTTTAACTCCAGCATGCCGGCAAATATATGCAAACCTGCGAAACCCAAGTGCAGGAGAAAAACGCGATGGACCACCTTGGTTTGAACAAACGCGGTGGAAAACAAAAATTGCGATAAAAACTTAAAAAAATGCGCTAAAATGCGATAGGCGATAAATGATTTTGCCAAATTGCGGCACCGACAGCCTCGTTCTCCCATGGATTCGGGGGAATTGGTTCTGTGGAAACAACAGATAGAGAGACGGCTTCTTGAAATCCTTGGGCCATGGCCACACCTGCTGGAAATGTTGGTTTTACAATGGTTGAAAAAAAAAATCCGCAAATTTCCGCGATATTCCCGCAAATTTCCGCGATAAACAATTCCGGTTTTTGGGTTTCTACAAGAAATGTGGCGAACCTGTTTTCAACCCGTCGTTAGAGGTTGGCTCAGACATATCACTCAATTTTTTTGGGGATCGCCTTTTTCATATCTTCAGCCAAGTTGACATACTTACTTGGAAAGGGCGGCCAAAGCGTGTGAAGAACCCGAGAACCCCTGAAATGGAAAAATTGCGATATCTCAAATGTTCAAGTCTTTCCCATCCCGGATCTTCAAAAAGTAGGTTTTATTAAACACCACACTTTTTTCTGGTACTTAGCGCCCCAGGAATAGAATGCATGATATGAAAAACCAGAGTAGCGTGGTCCCTCATGTAAACAGAAAGCGACGTTATACGGGCCCCAGTTAGTTTGTTACATGGGGACATTCAACTATGAATTAGATGGCGTCACACTCTCCAGATTTAAAGGGAAACTACCTGACGTCTCTGATTTTTGCGACCAAGGATGTCAAGAATCCCTCGGATGTTGAAATCTGGCCATGGTTTGACATGATGTGACGTCTTAGCATCTCTACCATGGACCCCTGCTAGGTCCCAGCTGGTGACAGCGCTAATGGAGAAATAGATCCTGATCCTTCGGTAATTCCCGTGCAGTGAATCAATCTTGTAAGCCTGATCGCACCCAAGCTCCCTCCAGAACCTGCCTCCGACTGCCCAAACATAGAAACAGCGCGAACCTGCGGAGTGTCTCAAAGCTCTGTGAGTCAACTAACATGAACGAACTTGAACTAATTTGAACGAACTTGAACTAACATGTTTTCAAACATGTTTTGTATTGACATGTTTGTTTAAAATGGTTTTGGAATACCAACATCCAAAAAAGGTTGGGTTCCCTTCTCCGCTCGTTCAATCTGAATGCAATACGCAATCTTCAGTGAGGATAACCCAAAAACATAAACGCGAAAAAAACACCGACGAACTGTACTGTTGAAACCTGCTCTTCTTTGTCCTCCTCTCACTGGCATAATGTATCATATTGTTGTTTAAATACGGTAACTACATTTAAATATACGGACTTTTAAATATATGAACAGGTATTTTAGACTACCTCCGGGAAAGTTTTCCTTGGCCCGCCCGGCCATTTAAACATACGGAATCCAATTCATTTAAACATACGGTAACTACATTTAAATATACGAACAGGTATTTCATACTACCTCCGGGGCCTCAAGGTCTGGCCCGCCCTCCACATATTTAAATGTCGTTACCGTATGTTAACATATGGGCCCAAATAGCCTAAAACCTAAAACATCCTAAAACCATATTTTTTCCCAAGAGCGTCTGAGCGAAGGGTTCTTCTAATAGTGGGGGTCTGTCAAACATTTTCACATCTTCACATCTTGACATCTTCACATCACATCTTCAAATCTTCACACCTTCTCATCCTCACATGCTCACATCTTCACATCTTCTCATCTTCACATCTTCACATCCTTACATCTTCTCATCTTCACATCTTCACATTCGCACATCTTCTCATTTTTACATCTGCTCATCTTCACATCTTCTCATCTTCGCATCTTCACATCCTCACATCCTCACATCTTCACATCTTCACATCCTCACATCTTCTCATCTTCACAGTTATCAGGATCCACGTCTGTTTGCACAACAGGATCTGGGAGAGCCAAGCAGCTTGAGAAAGCACGGGACTGCCATTAGCACCACTCCAAGAACAACAAAAAACACCTTAACTCCCAGCAGCTTCACCTGCAGGCTATCAAGGTCGCACAATGCAGCACAGCCGCCAGTTGATCCACCACCACCTTGCACTACTTCCAGGCTGAAATGCATTGGCGAACTTTCTTAATGTGAGAAAAAGGATTAAAAAGGAAGTTTCATTCCTATCATGCGAGCGTCTGCCCCTGAATGTGAGGACCTGTTCAGCTGCTCAGTGCTTTTCATATTACAATGTTGTGCACCAGCATTCGACATGCTATGTTTAGCAATCAACCCAAGAGATTACGAAAATAGGCGCCAATTGCCATGGAAAATCCTTCGTCTCCGGAACTATGGTGCCCAGCAGGTTCGTGGGCGGAAGAAGGTCAACAAGAGCAAGACCTATCAGCCACTTTTCACGCTCTGAAGGCTGGAAGGGGCGGCACGGGCATATGGGTTGGGATTGGGTTGGGATCTGTGATTCAAGTCATATGCTGCTGTATGCAGTAGCAATAATAACACAAATACTCTCACCACCCTGAGGGACGCCCTGAAAATTGAAACCATTGAGACACAGTGCATATGATGGTGTCAAATGACTCAATCTTGAATTTTCCAACTTACGTTCCTGGCTACCTTTCTCATCACTGGATAAACTCTTGTGCACCCTCCTTTTAGCCCAAAGTCGTGGACTTAGAATGCGTCATGCATCTCCACACACGTCCAGCATTATTGCCTGTATTCTCTTTGGGTAAGGGCTGCGATACTTCCTCAGGAAGTTCTGCCCATATCACTGTGCAAATGCACGGCCTTGCTAGTGCTTCAGCAGCTCTGCAAAGAACATGCCAATGAATTATGTTCTTCGAACAAACCTGTACAAACAGCCACATAGAAGCCAAACATGGCCTGCATGGCTCTCTAAACTCTGGAATGCTCGAGACTATGACAGTAGTATGCAGGGATTAAGCAGTACTGACTCTTGTACTGTGCGATGTTTTGAAACTGCTTCAGTTCTGACTCAAACTGAGCATTCCGTTGCGCCACTTTGAGCGACTGCTGTGCTCCCACAAGAAATGGGTCTTTGCATTGCATCCGGGCTACAGCGGCTACTACTGTGCTACTTTTTTGAACTTTATGACTTTATGAGTCTTTGAGATTAGTTCAACCCCGAGGAGATAGGAAATATGTGTACAGTGTACAGTATAATATGCGTATATAATTTATTATTATGAATATTATATAATATGACAAAGCAAGCATGCACGTCTGTGTGTGTGTGCACTCGGTGTGTATGCATTCAGTAACTTGCTTTCACTCAGCGTTCAATATAATTGAACGAGCTGCTTCGCTTGCTGCAAGGCCAATTTTATGATTTAAGATCGACTCAGTCCGTTGGCCAATGTAGCCCAACTGCATGGAGATGTGCTGCATCAAACAGTGTTGGCAATTGGGCCAGCATACATGAAGTCCATGGCGCGCGGCTTGTACAGCGCACGACCTTTGCAGAATAGAGGTGTGAACGGTTTTTGAACAACTTTCACGACAAAATGCCACAAAGTAATTCGTGACTCTGCCGTAATCTGCCCCGCCAAGTCACAGAAAGCCTGCGTGGGAACCGCTTCTTCGCCCGTCAAAAGGGTGAAAAAGTCGGACGCAAAGGTTTGGCAGTTTCCTCAGAGAACGTGGAGGATGAACCCATCAACGCATGGTTCTTGTGCATATTCAGTACCTCTCTCTCTCTCTCTCGCCATCTCAGAGAGTTCAACAGAAGCATACTCACTGTCTGGACTGTGCTATTGCCAAGCGACTTCTAGCTTCCTCGTACTGGGGGTTCTTGGCGGCGTAGTTCAAAAGGTATTGTAGAATATCCTAAGTAGATTTGGGTTTGTGTTGAACCATTTGTAGTGACATTTCAATGCAACAAACAAGAGTCACAAGAGGGATCTGTATCCTGCCTTCATACCAAACCAGAAAATTAGATGAACCCTCGGCAAACACTCTGTACGCATATTCACAATTCAGTGCGAGTTTCTGCTACTGACCGGTGCTGCGTATGTACCTGAAGAAATGCTGTGGATGGCCGGGCAATGTCAGGCATGTCCAAGCAGCAGCAGGTCACTTCATCCAAATGATATGAATAAGTACCCTTGAAAAGCTGCAAGCACAATGCAAGCAGAAAGGCGCTCAATCTGCATCGCAAGGTATGTCCTAGTAAGCCCACCTATCTACTACCAACCAGAAATGATGCATTTTTGTTGCTCCGTGCAGTTTTGTCAAATACGTTCAAACTTCTCGGACTTCTGTTCTTGCTGGCCTTGCCAGTATAGGCCACGTAAGGATCAAAGAAGCGCTGTTCCGCAATTGGAAGGTCGCCAGATCCACTGAACTCATGGAGGAAAGCTTGAAACTCCTCGACTTGTTGCGCTCGTGAGAAATGATTTTCACAAAATTGTGTTCCGTTTGCATTGCTTCGCAACCGCTTCAGAAAGCTCGCGGCATGTATAATAGCTATAAGGAATATAATATAAAAGTCACAACTCTTATATGTCTATTTCAAGGACCTAAATTAGAGGTACCTACCTGTACCTACCATATATAGGCCTATGTAAGGGTTATGTACGGAAAATACGGAAATATCCGCCTTATATATCGTAATATAATTTGAAATATCAATATGTACAGTATATTGCGCAAAATAAGAACCCCCAGTCTCCTGCAGATTCTTTGCCGGCACATCAATTACGCGGATCTCTGCCAAGTGCTGCTGCCAAGGAGCCTGACTCACGATTAATGCGGCTCTTCGAAAGGAACATGCAAGACTGAAATCAAAATGTCGCCTGAAACCCCTCGTAACCTTTCAATGACCAAGGGGCCAACGACAAAGTCAACATGTATTTCCCCACCTCCCAGGAGGGTCTCTAGATCTTAATGAAAAGTGCGGCTCCTTCTTCTTCTTCTTCTTCCTTCTTCTTCTTCCGTCCTCCTCCTTGTGCCAGCTCGTCGTCACTGTGGGCAAGAACGGAGCCGGATCTCACAGCAAGTGCCAGCTCAACTGGAACAATCTCCAGAAGCTCAGCACCACGGTAGCTTGGGCACACACGGACCAAGACCTATCGCAAGCTCCACCGCAGTCTGGGCAAGCACGGACCCGGCCTTTAGGGAGCTCCAGCTCAGTCTGGGCACTCACGGACCCGAACCCTATCGCGAGCTCCAGATCAGTCTAGGCACGAATGCACCCGAACACATGCCAGAAAAAACGCCAAAAGAATACCAGATAGATCCAGATAGAATGTCAAAAATGGATACCAGAGACGATCCAAGAAAGAATGTCAGATAGAATGTCCGAGCAATATGCCAGAGAGAATGTCAAATATAATGTCAGAATGGATGCGAGATAAATTGCCAAAACGGATGCCAAATTGAATGCCAAAGAAAATGCCAGAAAGAATGTCAGAATACATGCCAGAAAAATGCCAAATAGAGTGCCAGAATAGGTGTCAGATAGAATGCCAGAATAGATTCCGGATAGAATTCCAAATAGAATGTCAGAGTAAATGCCGGATAGAATGAATGCCAGAAAGAATGTCAAATGTCCGAATAGATGCCAAATAGAATGCCAGAAAGAATGTCAGATACACATAGATAGAATGTCAGTGTATATGCCAGAAAGAATGTCACATAGAATGTCAGAAATGGATAGACATGTGATATACTGTAAAATGCAAAATGATCTGTCAGAACTATGTCAGGATAGTTTTTCAGGGTTGGGATCACTCAACATGGAGTTCTATGTATGTATGTATGTATTTATCTTACACGTTTGAACATCTGCAAGTCATACACATCGAACACTGTCATATCCTTATTACAATGCCATGCCTGATATTCGAAGAACATGGCCAAGCGAAGCAAGTTCTGATGACAAATTGCTTAGCTTGAATTCTGCAGGAATGCTGCAGGTACTCTGGCATTTTTACCATACATTGATATCAGCAAGGTGTCCTGAGAAGCCCTGTGAGGTCTTATGAATATAATATTGCAAAATGCTTCAAATTCGTCCGAGAAAATCTGCTGAACCTCCTGCCTTCATCGTGGAGGGCATAGATGCAAAAAGCTTGTTCGGGACCTCGCGCTGTAGCAGCGAGCAATGCGCATCACTCGGTTAGATAAAAACAAAACAGCTATATAAATCATTGAAATAAAATAAATTGGGTAGGATCTATTCTGTCCTTTCTTCAATGATAAACGACCCAACACACGCAGCATACACGTAGCCAAGGAAAGTCTTGCGGTGCAGCACAGGCCTCTAACTTGTCCCGGCACCAGTTGCACCTGCCCATGTAGCCCCCAAGCCCATTGAGCCATGCCAGCTCAACGACGCTGCAAAAGAGCCCATGACCTCATAGCCGTGATAGCCGTGATAGCCACCAAAGCATCTACCATGAGGATCCCTGAGGAACAAAGGTAGCCAGGGCGGCAACATGCGGCAACATGCGGCAACCATAAACATATTCCAAGTTAAGGGCACACAAATTAAATCGACTTGCCTGGTGGTATGAAAATGAGTCCTAGCCTAGCCATACAGGAACAAAGTGTGGTGGGGAAATAAGTTCTATGTCGGATCGCAAGGTCAATCAACATTTATGAACTCGCGAGAAAAGCACTTTGTTTTTTTCTGGTGGTTGCTGGCATCAAGATTCCAATGAACATGTTATTAACAGTCAAAGTCAGGGTTTAACAAGCTAAACTTCCCTCAAACATCCTGAAACAATGGGCAAACAATCAGGATCCCACCATCTCAGGGACCTTGGAGGTATTATATATATTATATATATATATATCCATGAGCTTCTTATTGGGAAAACATGGGAAAACAATCGAAAACATTATATCCGGCTCTCTCTCTCTCTCTCTCTCTCTCTTGCACTCTGCGGGCTTAGATCCAACGCTGCCTCATGGAGGCGCCCCTATGGGGGCCTGTGCCCTCGTGACAAGTTCTTGGATCTGCATGCTTGTATGTGAATGTGAATGTGTGAGCCCATCCTTGTTCACTTGTTCACAACATTTTGCACGCATACAGTTTCATACACTGTAACACGCATATATGCAAGCATGCATGCAGCAAGACTTGGGCCTCAAATCAATGCATGCAAACATATATGCAAACATAATCTGCAGACAGCAAGTTGCTCCACTCGACCAGGACCGCTCCTAAGATCGGCTCTGGCCAAGCACATGCACCCAAATTCTGATCACACCTTCTCAAACAAGTTTCATTCTAAATCAGTTCCTGGCAAATTCATACAAATTCTTCGTGAACTGCTTCGGCTTCCACCCTTCCTTTAAGTGGGAGAGGGTTCGAACATGCAGCATGCTTTCCGAAAAGTATATTCGGACAATTCGCTTGAACTATCAGATCCTGAACACAGAAGGCCCAAGTCTTGCTATAGGACACAATAGGGAAGCATCTTCACAATTGGACACTTCAGAACAAATGAGATGGGTGGATGTAGCATAATGTAGCTTATGTGCCACATCCTTCATGATATTATCACCATGCCCTCATTGTCCGGCAGGGAAATGAAGAAATAGCAGGAAACCACGGGAAAATCATCAGTTCCAGGCCAGGATCCATGCCAAATAAGCCGATCCTTGAGGCCTTCTGTAGCCTTTGCATAGCGATGAGTGAAGAAGTGACAGCTTGTGGCAGTTGCCGCCGAGCATGTGCTGTCGCTCCTGATGTTCATCTCATAAAATTCAAAAACACTACCCAGAAACATCCTGATCTCTGCTATGACTGCTATGCATTTGATGCGTGGGCGCTCAATTCTGGTGGCATGTCTAGAATTTCTTAGAATCCTTTTCGCGAATAATAAACATAATAAATGTGGAAGTGAGTACAAACAGTAGCTCTTCAAGTCTGCATGACGTGATTAAATGCAATGCCATTTTGCGATGTTCATCTGCCAACGCATAGCGACCTGTCCTTGCAAAAACCGTAATATGCGTGCCATGACGGAGGGAGCCATCTAGAAGCCCAGGGTACCAAAGCCTGAAGTAAGCCAATACAGGCAGGTTGAAGGCACTTCACTTGACTATATAATTAAATGAATTAGATTGAATTAGTACATTAGCAAGTAACTAGCACCTCACTCACAAAACATTGTACAATACACGGTAACTATCGGTAACTATTGGGCACACAACCCACAATTGGCCGTGGATTAAAGTCCACTTCATAGCCAATGACAACGGTGAAGTTGCTTCAACTCCAATACGTTTTACTGCACGAATCTGTTTAAACTGTTTGGAGGACGTTGGATACTTTGGTCCATGGGTGCAATTGTTTCGATGTCAGTTCACCATGGAATTCCATCCTGTCCCCCCAAACTATTTCACTTTCCAGCAACTTGCGTCTTCTTTAGCAAGTTGCAAGATGTTGCAAAAAAAAAACGCCTTTCTACACGGCAAGAGGTTTTGGCGCCAAACCCATTGATAGAAATACGTTTAACCAAGGTCTTCATCATAATGGCCACCTTTGATAATCCATACGGGCACTTATTGCATGCAAATGCACGCAAAACGTCTCGAGTCTCTGGCGCGGTTTCAAGATTCAAGATGTATCAAGTACATGTTCAAGAGCAACGTAGTATCAAATACGTGTGCAAATGCAAGCAAAAAGTCTTCAGCGGAGTAGCAAACATGCGTGTAAGCACCCCCCACCTCCCCCATCCACCCCCCCACTCATTTCATATTTAATGGACATTGCAATGAAACATAATGAAACCATGCGGCAGCATATGGGCGGTGGATGGCGGTGGTCCAGCTAATGAGATGCAATTCAGTTCGTGTGAAACTGGTCACTGCTGCACTTTCGCATGCCAAGACACACAAAACCTGGAGAAGTCGCCCCCCAACCAATGCCTTAATTAATTACCACAGTTGCAAGAAGCGTTGTCACAAAGGCAGTTTGGCCGCACTGCCACCAAAGTTGCGTGTCCAGTCAGCGTCTCTAAAAGTTGCTCCTTGGTTTCGAAGTCACAAATGCACAGCAAGCGTAACGTTCGGAATACAATAGCAAAAACACGCGAAACGCAAAGCGAACAAGGCCAAACTATACTAGTATATTCTAGTATATACTGTGGTGACTAGTTGCTTAATGTTAGTTAGACAAACCCAACATAGGCATTTTTCTGTACCAATTTAGTTTTACTTTAGCACCAGTAGTACCGCACAAGGCGACAGCGGAAGTTTCAAAGATAGGAAACCTATAGGAGAGGTGAGTTGTCGTGATGCGTGCATGGCAGAGCGAACCCACTGACGGATCGACAAGTGATTGAGGCTCTGAATTTCTCTCTCTCTCTCTCTCTCTCTCTCTATTTGTCTGTCTAATTATCTGTCTATCTGTTTATCTGAATATCTGTCAATCTGTCTATCTACCTATCTTACTATCTATCTGTCTGCCTATCTGTTTGTCTATCTATCTCTTCATCTATCTACCTTTCTAACTATCTATCTATCTATCTATCTAACTATCCATCTACCAATCTATCTATCTGTCTGTCTGTCTATATATTTTTTTATTCCCGAGAGCGTCTGGGCGCAGGGTTCTTCCAATAGTGGGGGTCTGTAAAACATCTTCTCATCTTCACATCTTCTCATCTTCACATCTTCTCATCCTCACATCTTCTCCTCATCTTCTCATCTTCACATCTTCTCATCTCCTCATCTTCTCATCTTCACATCTTCTCATCTTCACATCTTCTCATCTTCACATCTTCTCATCTTCACATCTTCTCACATCTTCTCATCTTCTCACATCTTCTCACATCTTCTCACATCTTCTCACATCTTCTCACATCTTCTCATCTTCACATATTCACATCTTCTCATCTTCACATCTTCTCACATCTTCTCATCTTCTCACATCTTCTCACATCTTCTCATCTTCTCACATCTTCTCACATCTTCTCACATCTTCTCATCTTGCCCTGGAAGGCGGGAGCAGGGGCAGTGCCAAGGAGACGGCACGAAACGCAACCCTTTCGCACGAAATGAGGGTCGATCGGCAAAACTTTCGACGGCGTCTGTGTGTAAAAAGCGTCTGTGTGTAAAAGCGTCTGTGTGTAAAAGCGTCTGTGTGTAAAAGTGTTTGTGTGTAAAAGTGTTTGTGTGTAAAAGCGTCTGTGTGTAAAAGCTGCTGTGTGTAAAAGCGTCTGTGTGTGTAAAAGTCTCTGTGTGTAAAAGCGTCTGTGTGTAAAAGCGTCTGTGTCTAAAAGTGTTTGTGTGTAAAAGTGTTTGTGTAAAAGCGTCTGTGTGTAAAAGCCTCTGTGTGTAAAAGCGTTTGTGTGTAAAAGCGTCTGTGTGTAAAAAGCGTCTGTGTGTAAAAGCGTCTGTGTGTAAAAGCGTCTGTGTGTAAAAGCGTCTGTGTGTAAAAGGATCTGTGTGTAAAAAGCGTCTGTGTGTAAAAGCTTCTGTGTGTAAAAGCCCCTGTGTGTAAAAAGCGTCTGTGTGTAAAAGCGTCTGTGTGTAAAAGCGTCTGTGTGTAAAAGTGTCTGTGTGTAAAAGCGTCTGTGTGTAAAAGCTTCTGTGTGTAAAAGCGCCTGTGTGTAAAAGCTCTGTGTGTAAAAGCGTCTGTGTGTCAAAGCGTCTGTGTGTAAAAAAGTGTGTGTAAAAGCGTCTGTGTGTAAAAGCGTCTGTGTGTAAAAGGTTTGTGTAAAAGTGTTTGTGTGTAAAAGCGTCTGTGTGTAAAAGTTCTTGTGTAAAAGCGTCTGTGTGTGTAAAAGTCTCTGTGTGTAAAAGCGTCTGTGTGTAAAAGCGTCTGTGTGTAAAAGCGTCTGTGTGTAAAAGCTCTGTGTGTAAAAGCGTCTGTGTGTAAAAGCGTCCTGTGTGTAAAAGTAAAAGCGTCTGTGTGTAAAAGCGTCTGTGTGTAAAAGCGTTGTGTGTAAAAGCTCTGTGTGTAAAAGCGTCTGTGTGTAAAAGCGTCTGTGTGTAAAAGTCTGTGTGTAAAAGCGTCTGTGTGTAAAAGGGTCTGTGTGTAAAAAGCGTCTGTGTGTAAAAGCGTCGTCTGTGTGTAAAAGCGTCTGTGTGTAAAAGCGTCTGTGTGTAAAAGTGTGTGTAAATGTGTGTAAAAGTGTTTGTGTGTAAAAGCGTCTGTGTGTAAAAGCTTCTGTGTGTAAAAGCGTCTGTGTGTAAAAGTGTCTGTGTGTAAAAGCGTCTGTGTGTAAAAGCTTCTGTGTGTAAAAGCTCTGTGTGTGTAAAAGTCTCTGTGTGTAAAAGCGTCTGTGTGTAAAAGCGTCTGTGTGTAAAAGCGTCTGTGTGTAAAAGCGTCTGTGTGTAAAAGCGTCTCTGTGTGTAAAAGCGTCTGTGTGTAAAAGGTCTGTGTGTAAAAGGGTCTGTGTGTAAAAAGCGTCTGTGTGTAAAAGCTTCTGTGTGTAAAAGCCCCTGTGTGTAAAAAGCGTCTGTGTGTAAAAGCGTCTGTGTGTAAAAGCGTCTGTGTGTAAAAGTGTCTGTGTGTAAAAGCGTCTGTGTGTAAAAGCGTCTGTGTGTAAAAGTGTTTGTGTGTGTGTAAAAGTGTTTGTGTGTAAAAGTGTTTGTGTGTAAAAGCCTCTTCTGTGTGTAAAAGCGTCTGCTGTGTGTCAAAGCGTCTGTGTGTAAAAGCGTCTGTGTGTAAAAGCGTCTGTGTGTAAAAGTGTCTGTGTGTAAAAGCGTCTGTGTGTAAAAGCTTCTGTGTGTAAAAGCGTCTGTGTGTGTAAAAGTCTCTGTGTGTAAAAGCGTCTGTGTGTAAAAGCGTCTGTGTGTAAAAGCGTCTGTGTGTAAAAGCGTCTGTGTGTAAAAGCTTCTGTGTGTAAAAGCGTCTGTGTGTAAAAGCTTCTGTGTGTAAAAAAAGCGTCTGTGTGTAAAACCCTCTGTGTGTAAAAGCGTCTGTGTGTAAAAGTGTTTGTGTGTAAAAGCGTCTGTGTGTAAAAAAAGCGTCTGTGTGTAAAAGCGTCTGTGTGTAAAAGCGTCTGTGTGTGTAAAAGTCTCTGTGTGTGTAAAAGCGTCTGTGTGTAAAAGTCTCTGCGGGTAAAAGCCTCTGTGTGTAAAAGTCTCTGTCTGTGTGTAAAAGAGCCTGTGTGTAAAAAGCGTCTGTGTGTAAAAGTCTCTGTGTGTAAAAGCGTCTGTGTGTAAAAGCGTGTGTAAAAGCGTCTGTGTGTAAAAGCGTCTGTGTGTAAAAGCGTCTGTGTGTAAAAGCTTCTGTGTGTAAAAGCGCCTGCGTGTAAAAAGCGTCTGTGTGTAAAAGCGTCTGTGTGTAAAAGCGTCTGTGTGTAAAAGAGCCTGTGTAAAAAGCGTGTCTCCATACTAACAACAGAAGACTCTGCTCCTCTACGCTCTCGGGCCATCCGTCGTCTAGTGTCTATCTGTCTGTCTGTCTGTCTGTCTGTCTGTCTATCTGTCTAACTGTCTATCTGTCTATGTGTCTGTCTATCTGTCTGTCTATCTGTCTCTCTTTCTCTTGCTCTATCTCTGTTTCTCGATCTCTCTATCTGTCCATCTGTCCGTCCGTCCGTCCATCCGTCCGTCTGTCTGTCTGTCTATTATCATCTATTATCTATCTATCTCTCTATCTTTCTATCTGTCTATCTATCTGACAATCTATATTGGGATGGGTCAAAGCCCTGTACCCCTGGGCAATATCAAAATAGCTGGCAAATGGATTTCATCCCCCTAAGAATGGTATTTATAGGTATTGATCCATAGCCATATACCTCACTACTTATTTAGTTCTCTGTTAACGTATCTGTCTCTCTGTCTGTCTCGCCCAATCTCTATTTTTTTCTCTGTCTGCCTATCTCTCTCTCATTCTCTCTCTATCTCTCTGCCTATCTATCTGCCTATCTATCTGTCTGTTTGTCATTTACCTACATAGATGTGCCTTGGCTTAAGATTGACTTAGGGGCTTTATAAAAGGACTTAGGGAAGTTAACTTGAAGTTATGTTAAGTGATGTTAAAGGTCTTGTAAGTTAAGTTAAATCTGTTGTTGTATGTTTTTTCGCGTTAAGGTTTGTAGTGATTTTTTGGGCAATTGTCATGTGATTTTGGAAAGTTCCGTTTTTCCCGCTGCATGTCGTTTCCTTAGCTTTTGATCTCGAAATCTGAGGAGTTTCTGGCAAAAACAGCGGTTCGGGTGAGCTTGAGCGAGAAAAACAGCTACGGATTTCAGCCTTGAGGAAACACAAAAAAAAAACACGTTTTTAACACATAGGCGTTTCCAAGCACGATGGGTGATGAGAGCTGGAAACTTAATCGCTTTCCCTTGCCATTTTGGTATTTTCATGGGGATACACATGCGCGATTTCATGTTTTTTGTGGAAACACATCCCAAAATGTCGAGATTTTTGGGCACCATGTGTATAGATGTGGAAACACATCTTTAACACATACGCGTTTACAATCACTCTTTCTGTCTCTGTGAGAAACACATACGTATTTACTTGTTCTGGAAGTAAAATCTAGAAAAATGCGCCTTTCCTTGGTTTCTTCTCTAATAAACAACAGGAAACACGTGCGCGTTCCACGCCAACCTTCTCTCATCTTCTCTTAAACATCTTAAACAACAGGAAACGCCATGATTTTAGGTCCTGCAACATTGCAGTCTGTGCTATCACATTTCAGCTGCAGCCATGCTTCCCGTGAAATTGTGCTCCACTTGAGCAGAAACATTGTCCAGCCATACAAAACATCCGTTTCCAGGCCAAAAAACAGCTATCTTTGCTAACTTGTTTGTATCTTGTTTGACGTATGTGCTATTTCATGTTATATTTCCCTATCTATTGATATAAATTGAACATGACCCCCATTTATAAATGTACTCAACTTGAACCATGTTATAAAATTAAAATATGCAACATATAAAATGATTTGGATGCCAAGGCACAACTATGTATCTCTCTGTTTCTCTCTATCTCTATCTACATCTTTATCTCTATATCTTGCTCTTTCTCTACCTTTTCGCGCACCTCGATCTTCTTTCTACTGAGTCTTTCTCTTCTGACTTCCTCTCTTCTGACTCCTTCTCTTCTCTGCCTCTTCCCGCCTCTGCTGCTTCATCTGTCCATATTGTCGGAAGTTTGACTTCTAAACTTCCTTCGGCAAAACGCCTGTTCGACCAGCATGAACAAACCAAACTCCCATTGTACCTGACTTGCGCATACTTGCGCAGGGTCTTGAAAGCCCCTTGACGTGCATCAATAGCATGCTCAGCATGCACAAACCCACATAATTTGAGGACATGTTGACTTGCGACTGGTGCTACGTCCGTTCCGACGATGATTTTAAAGAACACACATTTCCAAACACATACTGCAGTCCCTGCAAACTTGTTCCATGTCCTTTCTTTTCCTACAAACTTCCTGCAATCACGGCTCTGAGTGAGCGAAGTTTCTTCCCGTGCAAAGCGGTGAGAACTGCTACAGGATCGCTGGGAGCATCTTGCTGCTTTGCATTTTGGAGCCAAAGTCTTTTGATGCTCGTTGCCACAACCGATCGCACCTCACAAGCAGGCTGATGTCAGGATTTGCAGGATTATGATGGTGATTTTACTGAAACCAGGCTTTCGGTGGGATGAATCAAAGGTCATTTTTGAGTGCGTTTGTAGCACGGAACATACGCTGCAGGGCAAACATCGCATGGGTGGATTGAAGCAGCATGAATTGAGCATGAGTCAGACATGACTCAAACATAAAGCGCCCACAATGTCACGTACTTGTAGCAACAGTATACAGAGGGGAAACGGACAAGAGCATGAAAGAATAACACATCCTATTCTGGATGCAACAAAGTTCTGCTCTTCGCCAATCTTGATGACATCTAGATTGCTGCCCTTAGGTCCTTTGGTATTAACATATACCAACAAAATATATACATCAACACACAATACCATAATGTACCACACAATCATGGTTGGTCGAAGGAAGTTTAGAAGTCAAACTTCCGACAATATGGAGAGATGAAAAAGCAGTCAGCAGGGAGAAGAGTCAGAAGAGAAAAGATCAGAAGAAAGAAGATGCAGGGAAACACTGTGTTTTTTCGTGGTTTTGTGGCTCCGGAGGGTTGAAAAGTAGGCTCGCTAAAGCGGCGGGTGCAGAGACATCTGGGGAGATGAGAGATGAAAAGTTGCACGCCGTGGTGGCGCGAAGCCGATTTCGAAGTGAAAAGGTCCAAAACACCTCAGGATCGGACCACTTTTGGAAGTTGAGATGTTGAAAAAGTGCACGGCGTTGTGGCGCGAAGCACGTTTGGAAGTAAAATGTGTTAAAAACTGAGGGGTTCGGAGCAGTTTTGGAAGTTGAGATGACGAAAAAGTGCACGGCGTTGTGGCGCGAAGCACATTTCGAAGTCAAAATGTACAAAACACACCATGATCGGACCACTTTTGGAAGTTGAGATGTCGAAAAAGTGCACGCCGTTGTGGCGCAAAGCACATTTCCAAGTCAAAATGTACAAAGCACCACATGTTCGCGCCACTTTTGGAGGTTCAGATGTCGTTTCGCGTGGCAGGCGCAAGGGATTGTGCACCTCTTCAAAAGTGAGCAAAACGTGAGGGTTTTGGGGCATTTTCACCTACAACCACCACTACACCACACTACACTCCAATACATTACGCTACACTACAACTACAACTACACTGCACCTTCACTACATTCTACTACACTACACTCCACTACACTACACTGCACTCAATTACACTCAATTACACTCAATTACACTACACTACACTACAGTACACTACGCTACACTCCACTACACTACACTACATTACACTACACTACACTACATTACATTACACTACACTACCTTCCACTACACTACATTACACTACACTACATTACGCTACACTACATTCCAGAACACTACAACTACAACTACACAAAACTACACTACACTAAATTACACTACACTACATTCCACTACACTCCAGACTACACTACACTACATTACACTACACTACATTACATTGAATGACACTGCACCACAGACAGACAGGTAGACAGATAGACAGATAGATAGATAGACAGATAGACAGGTAGACAGCTAGACAGATAGACAGATGAAAGCGAGCGCGAGAGAGAGAGAGAGAGAGAGATAGATAGATAGACAGAAAGATAGATAGATAGACAGATAGACAGGTAGACAGCTAGACAGATAAACAGATAGACAGATGAAAGAGAGAGAGAGATAGATAGATAGATCGATAGATAGATACATAGTAGATAGATAGATACATAGTAGATAGATAGGTAGGTAGGTAGATAGTCAGAGAAAGAGAGCGAAAGAGAGGAGACCTCAAGCACCTTTCGGTCCATCAGTGGCTTCGCTCTGCCATCCCTGATTCACAAGAACCAACCTCTCCTATAGGTTTCCTATTTTTGAAACTTCCGCCACCGCCTTGTGCGGTACTACTGGTTGGTAAATGTTAATAAGTCATGCTCAGGTTTGCCCACCTTGCAAGTGATAGAGACCAACTCCAAGTTCGTCAATCCAGGCCACTGGTTCAATTCTCCTCAGGTGTCGAGCTGTTGAGATTGTTGAATTGCAAGTTTGGGGTGCAGGCTGAAAAGCGTTGAAAACACACAAAAGTCCTGAAAGGATCCAAGAGCCACGCTCATTTTGTGCCTCAGCAGAACGAACAAGTCATGTCCAACCTGTGCAAAGCTTGGATGCGGAGATGCCGGTGATAATATATGTGGTGATATGATGTGATATCATTGATATGCTACATTTTTCCATTCATCTTGAGCGCTAATTTGCAGCCAAGATCAACCAAGTAACCAAACGCTCCAAAAGCTCTGATAGCTTGATATGTGGCATCGCCCTGCATGGCTTCAACTGGCCCGGCGCAGTACAAAGTTTCTTGTGGAAGAAGTCATCGGCCACGATCTGTGCATGCCATCTGTAGCCGTTCTGTCCATATGATGCCTGTCAAATAAAAAGCACACAGCATGACACAATATGACAGAGGTATATAAAAGTTTCCCTTCTTCTCTAGCCAGAGCAAAGCAGCTATCTGCAACTATCTGCATTTCATATTGCATTCTATTACCGCAGCCTCCTCAAATGTTCATAACATACGCCGTCCCTCACGAGGGACGGATTTGCCACATTGGCCCACATTGACCTTGCCTCTGCCGGAACTTCCAAAGGGAGGTACTCCTCAGAATCTTGATGAATCTTGTACATACAGAAAAAGTCAAACTTCTGGCTGAGAGATCAAATGCCCAGATTTGTGCGAACGTTCTATACGTGGATGAGCTTGAGTTTGATCAAAACATCATAGTGTATATACATGTATATACCGTATAACTAATGAATTTTTACATCTGAACTAAGGAAACAAACAATTTTGGACATTGGAAAAGGTGGACGAGGTATTCTGAGGTAATTTTGAATGGCTTCCCTGGGTCGAATTCGACCCTGGGCAGTTTTGAAAGGAGGTACCGGATTCGTAGGAGGGATACACATATTGTCTGCTTGAAGGGGCACAAAGGAAAAGGGACCTGAACAAGAGTGAATTTGTGTGAAAAAACGGAAGAAACATGTAAGACACGGAAACGATAGGCTGTCTAGAGTCTGGAGTCTGACCATGAGCCTATAATGCTTCTGAATACTTTGGTCATGTTCCTACATCACACACGACAAAGCATTGTGCTTTCAGATCTGTCACGTGCTCTGAAATCTGTTCGACGGCTCTTAATCGTAATATATCGTAATGCAAGGACAGCGAGATCTGGGGATCTGGCTCCAACTTTCACCTCTTCATCCGGCATCGGCTCTTGATCCTCTGAGCAAATGTCGGAACCTTAGCGGTTGGAAATCGGCAGCAACAAATGAAACTCCCCACACGGGCGTGAACCAGTGCATAAAGGACATGTAAAACTGTAAAACTATGATTAATATTAAATTAATACATAATTCATTATCATACTTGCACAGTCTGGGTGGGAAAGCAATCGCAGGGTTAAAAAAAATGGAAGCCAAGTCGACCAAATTCCGCCAAGACTCCATCAGGATCCTGCAGGATTTTGGCACTTGGCGACATTGGTGATAGAGGCGATGCAGGACCTCATTGAAAATTGGCCATGGCCCTGAGATGATCACCACAAAAGGCAACAAGTACCAATTCATGGTAATTTCTGAAGTACTATCACTAGACCATGTAAACCAAACCCCATATGTCGTAAAATCAAATAACCATACGTATCATATACCCAATTACATCCGAGCCTGGATTTCAAGTTTTGAAAAGCCATACCTAAGAAAGGGAAAGGGTTGATCGTGGAGCATTTCATTTTTTTAATGGACATGGTGCAACATAGCAGTTGCAAAGTGCCCACTCAAATGCATCTCTGTTATTGCAATCAAGAGAGCTTGCGTGGGCAGAGCTTGTCGCCGGATTGACAGCATCACGAGATCCACCGCACCCTTCAGAGAATTGGAAGACTGTATCGCGCATGCGGTTGCAAATGTACGTCACAAATATACACTATGCCCGCGCGACTGCAATAAGTATCAACATAAGAAGCTGCGTAAAACAGCTGTCAATTGTGCTTAGGTCTTTGCATTCTTTGTGCAAATTTCAGCACAATTTGATCTACTGCAGCATTCCCCTCCAGCTGCAATCACTTTTCGTCAGTGGCTGGACTGGTTCAAAATCGGACTGGTGAAGCTAAGAGACCCATCTCTGGCAAAGCCGGAGGTGAGGCTAGCATCCACGACGGGGAAATGAAAGCTTCTCGGGCCAAACAAGCCCTGATGAAGGTCTGTGAATGGTTTCTGACGGTGGAATACATTGGCTACATTGTGGGTAAAACATGATGCAGTTATATAATGTTATATAGCAATGCCTGCAACCATGTCTGAATTGACTCAGTAGCAGCGTGGCAGTATCACTAAGATTGACATGATTTGGCATGGCTTAAGAGCAAAAATGGCACGTGGACGTGGTGATAAACAAGAAAACAACCCTCCCGAATCCCAAATATACAAACATACGTTGTCCCAAAGAGGCTCAAAAGCATATCAAATCAATGCAGGCAAAGAACCCCCAATTTCGGAAGATAGTGTGTATATATATATATATATACAACTTGTACCTGTGTGCACAAAGACCGCTTTACTAACCTACAGTATGTTTGTCATATTTTCTCCATCTTTCTCCTAGATATCCTAGTCCTAGATCTGAACCCTCACCTGCCCTTCACAGTTTATCAACTGCTTGATTGGACAAAGGACCCCAAAAACCTTTTGGGAAGCAAAAGACTACTCTCTGCTCCGTCGCCACTGGGACCAGAGACTGGCAGCACATTTGATCCATCTTCGTTTGGCAACACCTGGAAAACGTTGCAAAATCTTGATGGCAGTATGGAATTAATATCACAATCTATCACATACTTTCATAGTCTTTATCAATCTTTATCATATATTTCACCTCTGCCTTGAATTGACTCTGTGACCATGTGTGACTTAGGCTGGCAAGGCCATGATCCTTGTTGAGAGGAGACGCTGACTGCAAATTTCGCCCGGCTCAAGGGAGGGCTTGAACATGTTTGAACGTATCCTGCAACAAGAACAGACTTAATCCACAGTTTGTGGTGTTCAACCCTGAACAATCCTCAATATTTGATTGGACATGATTAGGCAACATAACATGACAATGATTACTAATTTCTTTGCGTGATCCCCACCATCTGATTTTCTATCTGACATATATTCTGCATGACATTATATCCGGATATATCCGGTTATTCTATAGCTGTCTGAATCTGTCTGACATTCCATCTGGTTGTTACGTTGTGGCATTCTATCTGACATCTGGCGCCCGCCGTTGAGGTCCGGCAGTGCCCATTGAGATCTGGTGTTCGTGGTTGAGGGCGGACCGAGACGGGAGGAGGAGAAGGAGGACAGATGCACCTCTGATAAAATCTAGAGACCCTCTGGCAGGTGGGGAAAAGATCATCTCAAGGCAATTGGACAAACCAATCAGCGCTGTCCATCGCTGTCCCACATTCTCCACTCATCTGGGCTCCAGAGCAGTGAGCCCTTCCAGCTGCACCAGGTTGCGGCTGTCCTATGATGAGGCTCAAAGGTGCCCCATGGCTCTCCATGTTTCCTCCATATTTTGCATGTGCAGTAGGACCATATAGCACTCTTCATTCCAATAGATTGCAGCGATTGAATGCAGCCCAATCGGACCCACTCCAACATATAAGGAGATATAAGGTGAAAAAACATGAACAAACATGAAAAAAAACATCAAAAAAATCAAAGAAACGGCCGCATATGAAAACTGCAAGTCACAAACACAAGGGCTTCATGACCTGCGAGGAAGCTCCTCACGTCCCTGAGCTCCAGAAAAGATAGCAAGTCGCTCTAAACGTCGTGCACATCCTTAGTTGCTGTTGTTGACACGCCTTCTCCAGATCAACTGGCCCATTCGTATCTCCTCGAGGTTTGCTTGGTATAATGCTGACATCCGATTATGCTACTGGCAGCGACTTGATCTTAATTTAAAATCCATTCTAGATCGGATCACTGACATCTTCTTCTCCCTGATTAAACTTTCAACGCTACAAACGCCACCTGGTGGTCACCTCAGCCGAATTCCTGGCTGCCGAGGACAGAACGAGTGTACAGTTGCAGCTCTGCCTTTGCTGCATCCTCAGCTGCAAGATGCTGAAAGTAAATGAACATGGTCGTCACTGGGTCCACAATAGCAACATGTAGAAACCAAACTTCTGGGTCCGGCCGCTGGATCCAGCTCTGAAAACTTGGTGTCCGAACTGCCATCATCACTTTAGTCTCTTCACTCATGCGTTCCTTGAGCGCAGTAGCCTCCTCCTCGCCTTGACACCCCGTGCAGTCAGGACGTCAAGGTCTGCAGCATTCTGCAGCAAAAGCTTGTCTTTCAACGAATCCCAAGCCTTTGCGTTTTCAGCTCTCACGCCAACTCCAAATACTATCCACACATGGTCCACACATATCAAGAAATATTTAACTCTGGCTCTGTGTTTCCCGAGATTTCCGACGGCACCAAAGGGAAAACAGCTTGGCCAAAGCCAAGTTCTGGGTGTTCAGACTGTCGGCGTTTGCCAAGAGAGTCGCAAAACGTTGCTGTTCCTGGGCAGGCGAAGGTCCCAAACATCTAACTTTGGCATCTTCAACAAAGGGGCTTCAAACAGGCTCCGTGACGACAAAGCATTGCGTTGACAGGATTCGACCAGCGCAAGAAAACAAACATGATGGCCACATGCGCTCTCAAAACAGCAGCAGGTCTAGCGGCCCCAAATCCCTCCCAACGTCTGGCAAGAGAATACCACTCCTGCTGCATCTTGCGTTGAGCAACTGCCTCATTCAGCGGAGCAAAAATGGAGCTAAACTGTTGTGCTAATTAAAGATTCACAGTTTCACAATTTGCTCATAGTACCCTTCGAGTACTTCCAGACTCAGATTTCGTCTCTTCTTATGCGCACACACACACGCACACACTCCCCCTCTCTCTCTCCATATTATGCACACTCCGCCAGTCTTTTTTTGTCAAGCTTGTTCGTCTTGCTTCAGCAGCAGCACCACCTGGCCAACAGGAATCTACGCAGCGCTAATCATTCATTGAATCGAACAATGGCTCCATAAGTCATATAGCTGATATAAATTGATATAGCTGATAACAGGCTCGTTCCCTCCGATTGGAAAAATCTTGAACATTATGTTGATGTAACATCAGGGTTAAAATTGCGGCCAGGGTATTGCGCCGCGGGTTCTGCGCTGCAGTGCCATGGACTTTGCTGCCCATGTGTTGCCTGCGCTGGCGCAGCTTGGGCAAAGTTTGCCTCGCAGCAGCGAAAAAGGAATGACATTCGGAGTATTGTGCAGCTGAAGATGCAACACGGCAACACGCACTAGGAGCAGATAGATGCAGAAATGACATTCAGGGAATTGCGGAATGTTGTGAAATTGTGCGTGTGCATGCTTGGGCTTCCCTCCATGAAAGGCATCCAAAGAACAAGAAAACGAGATTTCCGCAATAGCAGCTACCAGTAGTGGAAAAAAACCACCTATAGTGTGCGTATGTCCAACGGAGTCTAATGTGCGTGCAGACATTTGCAAGCAAACTCAGACATGCCTAACATACTTTAGCACATGAGGGTGGAAGGTGCAGGATGTACTGTAACAAGTTTAAAACGAAAACTCCAAACACAATGCCCCACTGCTGAAATTTTGGTGATAGTCGTATGCCTATACCTATCCTATCCCTGCAGCTGTTCATTGAACACCCAAAAACAGGAGAAAATCATGTGTGGTTCCAACTTTGAGTGCTCGAAAGTGTGCATCAACGGGCTCAGTATCAAACACCTTTTCACCCACATTGCGACCCATTGCAAACCTCCATGCAGACCGGGTTGCTGTGCTGCACGATCCAGCGCCAAGTCAGATTTATTCTTGGGCCAATCTTTGGACCTTGGTCATTGGTCAGTGTGTGGGTGCCAAGCGTAGGGGAGGACATGGGAGCACTGAGTGATGTCAATGTTACCCTGGTCTTGTATTCCTTCTCATCTGGGATCATGCAACTGATACCAAACCCATCCTGAAACTAAAGCACAAACTAAATATGGTGGGATTAAAGCAATCTCTTGCAGCTGCTACCCATTTAATTACAGGCTTCGTGATGTAATACCATGTCTGAGTTGTCAGTTAATTATGTCGCACCTTCGAATGATCGCCGAATTTGACCGAGTGTGCTTTGTGCTAGTATTGCTTGACTGCGTGCTGAGAGTGCATTGGGCTTCTTCCGTCATATTCAACTTGATAACACGCGTGCTAGTTCAAAGCTTGATAAGGCACCCGCACCCTGCACTTTTGGCACCCGGTGCCTGTAGTACCTTAGCAAAACCAGCACATTGTCTTGAAACTCTTCAGTCTCATGGACGTCATAAATAACTTGACAACTCATACTTGGGCTACCCCGGCAAAACCAATGACGTTTGCATCATTGATTCCAATCCTATGTGGGGTATTCCAGTTTTACATCAGGAACCGCGGTGGCACAAAGAGTGACATTGTCGTTTGGTATCTGCACATGGCACTTGGCCTCCAATATGGCACTGAGGTCATTTCAAAGTCGAGCAGAACACATGCCATTTCTGGTGGCAAGCATGTCGCAACTGTCGCAACTGTAGAGCCGACTCATCAAGCACTCAAACTGGTCAGCACCAATAGATCAAGCAGAGTATGTGGAACTATATGCTTTGATGCCAGTGTCTCCATGTGTCTCCTACAGTATCATTTGAAGGTCTTCCCACTCTTGCGGCATTTGAATGCATTTGACGTCATTTGACTATTCTGAATTGTGACCAGGGACTTCTGAGTCAATCCCTCCATGGTGCAGAGGTCTCCGTCCTTGAGCTCAAGACCTCAAAAAAGAATAAAAAAGATATGAAAGCCAAGGATGTTCTGTAATTCTGCAATGTTCTGCCCATCCTCATTGACCTAGATACAGTACGAGAAGGCAAGGTCGTTGGCTGAAGCATCTGGAGGATGCGCTTCGGATACATTTCAATTTTTTTCAAACTGTATGTCCAAGCCTCTGTAGGTCTTGACAATACCAAAAAACATAGTCGATTTTTGGAGCTGCTGCCAAGAAGCAATGGAAGTCTTTGCCACATCTCAGCTCAAACCGTCTGGTCTGTCCCAGAGACAATGAGATGATACCTGGTCTGTCTGCAAGTCAGGGTGTCTCAGGGTACAGGGTGGGATCTGCGAGAAGCAGCAAAATGCGACAAGCACATGCTGCACATGCTCTTCTTCCAAGGATGTGCCAAGTGCCTTCTATATCTCGAAGAACAATTAAGGACATTCAAATCATCCAGGAACTATATAATTACGAGTACCTCAAGCTATATAAGGTTATAAATATTATATATATATGAACCTATTGCGCTTGGAGCAGAGATGCGACAATCCTGATGTTTTCCTTGAAACAGGGCTTCATCATCGGCATGCCAACCAACAGAGTGTTCTCCATCCTTGGCTGTATGGACAATAACTGACAATACCTGTTTGACTGCGAAAAGGATCTTGAGTCTACAGCATGTATGCCCCTTCTGAAGGAAATTCTAAAACATTTCAAACGGGGCCCAAAACGAGGTGACGTTTCCCGTGTGCAACGAAATAGTTTCTTGCTTTTCAGTGCAAGAGCTGGCGGAATGGTGCAACATAGTGCAACCAAGCTGCCATGTAAAGGTTCAGGTTGCAGCTGTTGGGCCACTCATGACTGGCAAGGCCACATAACCGCATACAGCTGGCCATGATCTCCAGCATCCAATCCTCGGGTGCGACAAATTCTGTGCTGTACGTCATGGTGGTGTATCCTTTTACCCATAGTGAGACAAATGCCTGAAGAGCCACATGACCAATAATAGGCAAAGAAAAGTTTGATTAACATGGATTTCTGTAAAATCATATGATCGAACATAAATAATTAATCAAATAGCTAAATCCTGCTGTAGTCTTTCTGAAATCTAGTCAGATTTTGAACATGTTGAAATGGCCCTTGCTTCTGCACTCGTGAGAGTGCCACGAGTCAAGCTACCTAAAGTGAGCTTACTAGCCTGCCTGCGAAATGGCGTCCTCTGTCTATTCAATTCTTCATAACTCTTCCCTCTGCCCATTTCCACACCATTGCGCATCACCCAATATATGCATCGATGTACCAGTTTTGCTCTGCTCACCGGGAAAGGCCGACTTCGGACAACATCTCTGATCATCTCTGAACATCAACCCATCTGAACCCCTGCCATCCCCCAGCACAGCTTGGTGCGCACCGTAAAGGGCAACGGTGAGACTTCAGCTCCACCATATCGGTAGCGACATGTGCACGGCAAAGCACCTGTGCAGCTCCAAGCACTCGCAGCATGAGCTGACGGTAATTCGATCATTTGGCAATTAAACAATTTGTTGAATACCTTTAAATATGTTTTATTGAAATGAATTTAACATAGGTATACATATATATATATGTATATATAAAATTATATAAATACTGTACATATTGAACATGTATTACATGTATGAAAATGTACGATACTGATATATATATATATACTGATCACATTTTCACATCCAAAATAATACAAAATAATCCAAATGCCATTGCTTTGCTACGATGATGTTGCGTCACATTGGTTCTGTGCTTGACTGCATGTTCTTGGGCCAAGCAACACATCCAGGCAGTGCGCAGAGGCAGCGGTCCCCAACGCCCTGTTGGCTGCAGCCACTCTGTTCCCTGACAGAAGAACGATGGATGTTTTTGAGTATCCATCATGACAAATGATGGTTTCATTTTCTTACGACCATTACCGCATCAGTGTCAATTTATGCGAATAGATCAACTCACAAATTGATGCTTTGGACCTCTATGATTTCTTGAACTTTATATAGCATATTATATAATACATATCACGTATATAATTATCAATCAAATATCTACGCCGGTGATTTGCTAGGTTGGAAGCTCAATCACTTCACCATGTGTGAAATTCATTGAAATTCACCAGTTTGCAGGATCTGCGCCCTTTGCATCTGCTTGCTCGCCTCCCGAACCAGATCGAAGAAGCGAGGTCGCAGTTCTTCAGGCACTGCTCTAGGCAGGTATCCCGCAAAGCAGTGCCACTCCTTCTTTCGTTCAAAACGATCATGATCAAAGTGTAAATTAAAATAATTAAAACCTTGTATCTGGGGCATGATGGAAAGGAATGAACAAAATGAAAGCAACATCCTTTGGCAACTTTGGAGGGTCTGCAGTGGAACATGGCTGATCAGCCTTCAGCCAATCACTGCTCCCGTGTCTACATGAGAGTGGCCCGGGTTAAACCGGCTCACGCATGCTAAGGGCTCTGGATTGAGTGTCTTGGGCTGAACCCACGCCAAAGCAAAACAGCCGATCCCCTCAGGGTGTTGAAATTACAAGCCCCCTGCAAGTCCTCATCCAACAATGGATAGCTCCAGTCAGCAATCTCCTGAGGCTGAAACTTCTGACATTTCGAGAACGCTTCAAAAGAACATCATAATATACGATTCATTTCAAATAATCGACTAATAATGAATAATGTACATGCAGCATGCAGCATGCATGCAAATTCTGATAAAACATGATAGTATGATAGAAACGTTGGCATTGCAACTTTGGCCAGCCTGGTCTATTTATATATATATTACATACCTAATTAATCTCTGCGGGCATCTCCTGTGCCAGGTCTCCCAGCAAATCGATTGATTCAGTCAGCCGTGGTTTGGACTCCTGAGCGCAAACCGTGGCGACCGTGGCTCAGCTTGCGTCCGGGGCAAATAAACTGTGGTAGTTGAACACTTGTCTCGTAGACATACAGCAACCTCGCCCACATTTCAAAGGTCATTCCCAGGCTATCTCGTAGACTTGAAGCATGAAACATCATGAAACATATGAAACTTAGAAAGCGGTGAACTAAAAACTTAACTAGTTATAAGATGTTATAAATATTTATAAATTATATAAAATAATAAAGTTTTTGCATGTCCCACCCATCATATGGAAACATTCCAGATAGATGCTGTTGTCAATGTTGTCGTAGCCCAATTTCACCTGACTCTCGGGACCAAACCTTCACCGAAGCTTTTCGTCTCAACTGAAGGACCCGCTGCCTGGCGACTGATGCGGATTTGGTCATCAAAGCGCGAGCAAAACACATCAAGAAGCAATGACTTTGGACTCTAGACTAGACTCTAGACTTGAACATTCCCGCAATTGTTTCTCAGCTCCACGTACAAAAAAAACGAGCAGAATGGGAAGTTCAGGTTGTCCATGATTTAGAACATGGCAAAATTGCCTTAAGTGTTGTTTAGTCAAAATCTCATAAAATCTCAGATCTGATTTGCATGAGGATGGATTGGTGATGGCACCCCACTGCACCTGAAATCACATCATGGGAACGTCTTGTGCCTCTGAAAGCGTTGCCGTCTCCAACCAGGCCCTCTAAGAAAACGACCGCTGCGCCGCAACGGTCCACCTTTCATGGATCTAGCTACACTGCGAGGTCTGTGCCAATAGGTCCACCTCGCACCACTGCGTTGAACAAATCCACATGGTTCAAGTTGGTTCAAGGCTTTTTGATGCTTTCTGTCTGTGCAAAAATGTGCAAAAAACAGTCGGTGCTGCATCTTGATGCATTCAGCATTGATTTGTTCATATTTGTTCTGCCTTTAGACCACCCGCAGCGTAGAAGCTATGCGTAGAGAACAGAAATGGCTGCAGAGTAAAAGTGCTGTACAGTGCGTCAAGCAAAGCGTACCGTCATGAAAACAAATCTTTGATTCACGAAAAGCAGTCAAGAGACGCTAATAGAATCATTGAGGCAGTCTTTCAAGTAACATAGGACATACATTTCAGATACTCAACGGGACGTTGAGGCCTGGAAACTTTGAAACATGCCAAACGTTGCCATTTGCAATGAACATCATGTTCCCTGGAGATCAGCGAAGAATCAAGCCCAAGGCCATGCTGCGAAAAACAAATAATTACCAACAGTGCATGGATGTTTGAAGCACTGAGTGTTGCAAAAAACTTGGGTTGCGGTTTCACATGTTTTCACACGCAACATCACGCAACTAAGATTCCAGCTGCCTCCATGGCATGCTTGGCCTGGAAAAAACAAGTCTATATTAAATATATATATATATATATATACCCTAGCCTTCAAAGGGTAAGTTTAACTTCGACATACACGAAGCCTAAGTTTAACCATTAGGGGGGATATCCCATCACTCACCTGGTCACCAGTCCCCTGCCAGCAGGCCTCCAGGAGATCAGCGGCTCAAAGCCAGATTGTCGAGGATTTCAACTCAACAAAATTGATAAACAATATTAAACTTTTGAAATTTGGAAGGTCGTTAAGATTCATATGGACATATTGTTTTTTTGGGAGATATGACATATGTATTTGGTGTGAAATGGACTTTCCTTGACCACACCCGGTGCCATGTTTTCGATTCATGAGAGCAGCCATCGCAAAGCGTCAGAACCCAAGCTCTTGAGTTCGGTGGCAGTTTTCTAGTCCAAGCTCGATCTACTTGATACAAGGGATCTGCTGGGTCTGAGGGAAACGTGCTGTTGCCCTGCTGGACCAGTACGCTTTAGGTGCCTCCCAGCCCATTCCAGATTGAAATATTTGACTGTGTTTTCTTTGGTCAGAAACCAGCCTGGACTTTGGACTAATGCTCTTTCTTCTGGCTGCATCCATTGTGCTCAGCAACAGTGGGAAGTGTGAACCATGAGCATGTCAGTCATAATTATAATGCCAACAAAATCAAAATTAGCAAGGGCGGCTGCAGCCTGCCAGTGTCTCCCATCTCACAAGCAGCATGCCAACCGTCAAGCCTAGCGAGCGAAGGATGGCTCTTCTTGAGGCGAAACTGAGATTGCCACAGTCCCCATTTCAATCATGAACGTGCGTGAGCCCAGCCAGGATTTCTACAAGTCCTACCTGACTGAAGGTGGCTATCGTGAGAAAAGGTTTGTCCAACTAGGGGCAAAGGAAGGCATTTCAGAACAGAGAGCACTTCGATCTTTGAACGATGGCAAGGTGTCCCCTGCGAGTTTTAGGACTACGTGGTGAAACTGCAGTTATATTTTTTGAATCGCTCTTAAGGTGCCCAACTGAGCACATGGCAGGTTCCACTGGATTTTTCCTTCATCGACCTGCACCCAAAAAAGGGTTTGTCGGAGGAGATGGTACCACTGGCTCATTTCTCAATGGGGCTTAAACTTCAGTTTCTTGAGTGACTGGCTTGTGGCCAGGTGCAATGTGACAACAACACCAAGTTCTTATTGGCATGGCTACCTGTGTTTGCTGTGGACCCGCCAACTGAGAAAGAATGCAAGGCTGGCCAAGCTACGTCAATTCCATCATATTTCATCTATATAACCTGTTTTTTTGCGGCTCCCCCAATATCCAGGAAGTTCTGGCGAAAGTAGCCCAAGACCAACGGATGACACTTTCGAAAGACAAAGAAGACATTGGAGTCACTTTGCATAATATCTTGAAAATTGCGAACCACTTTCAAACCGTTTCCCATTGGCACAATTGCTTAGGACTGGTGTCGGACCGAAGGCAACTTGCACAGAGCATTGGCTTCAAAAGTGCTAAGTGCCTACTCAAGGACAGAAAAAACAAGGCTAGGCGCCAACATTAAGATTAAGTGGTTGCGGGATTGGATTACAAAAACAACCTACTACGGTAGTTATGATCATCCTATCATTCTGCTGGCAGGTCCCAAGGCAGCAACATGCACAAGCTGAAGAAACTGGTTTCTTTGATCTTCAAGGCAACCGTTTAGACTCTTCTCCCTCACTCTCATTCTCGATTGTGTTTCTTTCGTCTCAAAAGTTGATTCCTCGTTCTGGGGGGAGCTTGCAGGATGCCGGTGTTGTGAAACGCACCAAATCGATCAGAAGACCTTTGGAGGTTCAGCTGGCCATGAATCTTCAATGCAGTATGGCACTGTTTTCTCAACTAGTGGAGTTTAATACATGTGTTTTTGCAATCAAAAAGTCAATCTTGTCAGAGGCCCCCGACAAGAAGCCACAAGGAACAGAACAGAAGGATCCAGAAGGAACACTAAAGAAAGATCTGGAAAAAGTGGAAAAGGATAACAAGGCTGAACCATCCCAGCTGGATGACAATGTAGAAGAAGTTGAACTTTTGATAGAGGAAGGAGAGGAAGAGGAAAATATGACAGATGATGAAGAAACAGAGCCAACCCCTGCCCCAGTAGCACGTGAACTTTTTCCACAAGGCCCCGTCAAAGTTGGAGAGGATACAGCCAAGGTAGAAGCCCCAAAGGAGGTTGAACCGAGAAAAGTAGAAAAAAAGGTGGAAGAAAAGGTACCAAAGGAGCCAAGGCAAGCGGAGGCAACAGGAAAGCCCTTGGAAAACAGCAACCCAAAGGATCCGGAGTTGACAAAGGGTGGCAAAGTTGAAGCGGAAAAAGAAGATGTCCAGAAGAAGCATGGCAACAAGAACGGCAGGGATACACACTCGAAGGGTGATACCCTCTCAAAGGAGGCTACAGATGCGAAGCAGGTGGGGGAGGGTTCATATTTGTTTCTGGTTACAAGCTTAACTTTCAACTTTTGGGCCCCTGATATCAGCATACTATCCCACCTCTAAGGTAAGTGCAACAGACGAGAAGAAGAACACGGAGGCACTTGAGACTGCTCAAGCCTTAGCGTTGGGTCTCCAGGAAATTTTAGCGGACTGCACCAGAGAGAATAAACCCAAGATCTTGAAGATGATCAATGGAATTTTGGGTTCAGAACCAACTTCAGTAGATTCACTACCTGGAAAGCGAAAGAACGAGTTTGCAGAACCCAAAGCCCAAAAGAACTTAAAGGCCGCAAAATGCCCAGAGGAATTGGAAAACGAAAACACTGGTGAAGCTCCCGAGCCCGATGCAGCAGCAGCAGCCTATGCAGATACCAAGCCGCTAGTCCCTGAAGTTCCCGACCTTGCTCAGTCTGACAACATTAAGCCACCCGATGCCGATGATGTTGACACAATTCGGAAACAGCTGGAAGAGCAAAGACTCCTCAGAGCGATGAACAAGGAGAAGAGCGCACAGAAACCTGGCCCCAAAAAGGCATCTAAGAAGTCAAAGGCAGCAAAAAAGGATCGGGAGGTTGATGATGAGAACAATGGAGATGAGGCAGAAGATGAAATGCAAACAGCCTTGGACAAACAGGACAAGGTTATGAAGACAGAAAGGGAGACAGAAGATAATGAAAAGCAACCACGCCGTGGCCGTGGCAGAGGCAAAGGTCGTGGCCGCGGCAGAGGAAAAAATACTCAGAAGCGAAAGGAACCAGAGCATGAACAGGACAATGGAAATGATGCTGAGAACCAACCGGAGGAAAAAGAACAAAAGGCTGATCAGGGGGAAGCTACTGAAGATCAGGGATCAAACACCCCAGATGAGGACAGCTTAGTGGAATGTGCCAGTCTTGCAACCAGCCAAACTAAGGTGTTGTATAATTTTATTTAATTTTGCCCTCGTTCCAGGAAGACATGCCTAAGCCTGCGACAGCAAAGAGTACCTACCAAAAAAGGATGGAGGCTTTTTTACTGTGTTCTGCAAGGAACTTCTTTCCCAGAGTCATGTTTCCTTTAGACCTGTCACCCATTGGTTGCCTCTGCAGCATTGTCTGAAGGCGTGCCGCGAGAAGAACCTAGCCGAAATGGTGGCGCTGAGCAAGATTCCAGGCATCAACTACACCCTTCCGCCTGAAGATGTATATGAAAAAGCTGGGCTTTGAACTTGGTATATTCTTCCTTGATGGGTCAAGCAGTCTAACAAAAGAAGTTTAAACCACCAATATTGATTTAAAGTAACCCAGGTCTTGGACTACTGCGGTCGAAGAGGGATTTGTGGAGCCCGGGCTGGTTCTGGACGATTGCAGTCCGATCTCAACCGTGTCAAATTCTCAGTCTGTGTCAATAGAACCACAAGGATAAAATATGATTTTGCGATGGCTAGGTTGGCAGGGTCTTTCTACATTCCCCATGTGGACCCGCTGGTGGTGAAACTGATCAATACGGCACAGAAGAAGTCATTCAAGGCTGGACCCGTCATACTTTTCACATACCTCATAATCGAGAACTGCCCTTTCAATCGATATTGACAATTCAGGTTGGTGCCAAGAACGGAGTCACTGTTGGATGGTCAACCAATGGTGGACCTGAAGCAGCGTTGGGTGCCCAAATCCTACTCCCGGTGGTAAAGCCAGCCTGCTTGCTTGCCAAGGTGGGACTTGGCCCGGCAAATTGCCGGATGGAAGCATGCGGCCTAGCTGTTGCTCTGCTGTGAATGACGGCACCATGTTGATTTCTAGCGCTGCTACAGTGCTATTTAGATATCAAGTTCAATCAACCGGCTTGCAGAGTTCGGGGTTGCTGGATTTGGGTTGATTCTGAAATTTCAAAACCTGACCATTTTGAAGCTAGCTGTTTCTTCATAAAGAGCTTCCAGCCCAAAGCCAGAGACGGTTGAATCACGATGCTGGTTCAAACTCTGGGGACTTTTGATTTTGCAGGTCGACCGGGAAGAAATTGGAGAACATACTTTTTGGGCAGTTTGCACTGTACTGTCACGTGAAATCTTGCGTTTTATGGTCAAGATATCGTCTCCATGACTCATCCCATAGACTGATCGATCGATGATAACGTATATATAGTGGCTCAATCCTGACAGGCGCCTGGTGCAAGTAGTAGATCTTGGTTTCGGTGTCATGCCACCTGCAGCATGGCGCAACAGCCCACTGGCTTTGACGGCATGTGCAGCATCTATGTGCCTTTTTTTGGGTGCACCTCAAGAACTGCCAAGCACTTAGATCGATCAAAGTTGATTCCATGACATGCAATGTATGCAACTTGGGGGGTTCCAAAAGCATAGGCACCTTCCCATATCATACTTGGATCTGGAGATTTTACCATACTAGCCGAAATTATATCGATCTATTTACAAGGGTGATTCTTGGAAATTTATCATGCAAGCCGATTCTGCTACACATCTTTGCCCCTGACTTCCAGGTTGGACATGGCAGACTTCGTGGCGATGTCAAGCTACAAGACACACACCCGTGCCAAAGCCCCAAAGATTGTGAGAGCTTTAATAAGTATAGTACAGTACACCGTAATATGTAAGAATCAAATTGAAAATACTACATACTACATTTTTGTCTTAGGATCTGGTGAACTTCGATGTCTTCTCCGGAGAGCAAGCCATCTCTAACGCCTTTCGTCGCGTCCTTGGCAAAGTAACTCGCAAGCTTGTGCATCTGCTGAGAAATATCCTTGGCCATTTGGTACAATGTGCATTTCCCAGGTGAACATGGAATGCATTCGTTGGGGCCTCATTTTAATTTGTACAACTTTCCTGTTGGATTTCCACCAACAAAAAAAATACCAAGTGAAGCACGGTCTTGAATCAGTTTGCCATTTGATTCTTTGAGGCAAACTTTTGACATCACGGCAAGGGCACTGCACAACGACATAAGCAAAACGTGCGGACCCCAGAAAGTGTGAAGTGATTTGAAGCTCACAATGGAATGGTTTTGTTTGCTATCTTTTTAAAATCAAATTCTGATCTGCCCAAAAGTTGTTGGCCACAGTTCTGCACTAGTACTACTCAAACTATCCAAAAGGACTGAACTTAAAAAATGGTTTGAACATGTTTGAACATATCTTTCTTGTAGCCCCAAATCCTGCTGCCTCTGGGGCCCAGGACAGGTTTTGCACACGCGGTCCTGGGCGTGCTTCGGGTGGTCCCAGATGGGTTGGTGACATTGGGGCCACCCTGTGGTTCTTTCGTATACATAAATCGCGCCACTTCTGGTCGAAGTCAACAAAGACCATATGGAAATGAGGGTCTGCGATATGTGGAATTGGCCTCTTTGATCCTTTGCTTAGAGAAGAATGCTGCTCCATGATTAAGTAGCTCTTGATTGAACTTCACATTTTCAATTTGCCAATGCAACAATTTGTGGGTCACCGAAGACGCTTGTCTAAGGATTTGTTCCCGAGCACTGATGCTAGTAGTTCTTGCAACAGCGAGAGGTGTGTATACTTGCCTGGAGCAGCCATGCAGTAGTACCATGAAATGGTTTCCAGACTTGGTGGCCACCGGGAAATTGATCAACAAGTATCTGTCCAATCTTTGGCGGGACCAATTCTTGTCCATACCTCAGATGAGAGTGTTGCTAGAGTAGTGTATATGCCTGGATTCCCATATTATAAAGATCCTACATAGATTGATCCTCCCTTCGCCTGCCCAGTTGGATGGCTACATGGGGAGGCCAAACACCGAAGCCCTCCCGGGCTTGGGGGACAGTGTCCAGGCCTTATCGGATATGCTGCCTGTCTCCTGCCAATTCGTTGGGTCATGTAAAACATGTTATCAGGTTATGGCTTCCCAAGTTGTTTGCCAAGCTCACAAAATTGCACCGTTTGAAGCTCCGGGAGAATGCGAAGAAACTCAAAGTGACTATTCGAAAGAAGAAAGCTGACGGTTCCTACTCTGTGTCATTTCCTCAGCTGCTGAATGAATGCTAGTGACAACATGTTGGAACTATTTTTGAATTTTGGGTGGGTGTCATGCCATCCGCGCTCAGGAGCGGAGGGCCAGGGCTGAAAAGAACCCAGGTCTATCCAAAGCAGTTCGGAGAAAGAATCTATCAGCTTCACAAGATCTTGATGGACTGCGTTAGTTCAGTTTCGTTTTGAAGCATTGGACTGTGTGGATGCTAGTCTATCTAACAAAAACACCTGGAAGTCACAAATATGCGGTCCTTTTTGGTGATTTATGATTTTCGGGGATAGTGGTGACAGGGCATCTCCTAGCCAATTGGGATTTTTTGATCACCAGCCACCAGGACACCAAAGGAATGCATCTTCAAGCTATTGTCAAAAGCTGCTTCATGAAGCTTAAGCGGGAGAAAGCTAAATTTGTAGGATCCTAAGGCCCATCCATCCACAGCCAACCAGCCCAACAGCTGACTCCTTGAGGCCCGCCGTCCCGGCGCATGGAAGAAGGCCAACCTGAAGGAGTTGCGTCAGTTTCTCACCAAGTCCAGGCAACTGTACTGGGCAAAATATTGATGGAATTACATGACCATCACCATCTTGGTAGAAACCAAGAAAATTTAGAAATTCAGGGTTGACTCCTCCAGCATACCTGTGAAAAGAAACCAGAAAAAAAAACAATTTGGTTCAATATTTGTGATTGAGTGGGAATAGCTGTGATAGTTTCAGCAAACTTTGGAGGAAAGTGGTGTTTCTCAACGCCGCCTACAACCCAGCTGTGTGGATTTCACACGGATGATGGTCGAACAGGGGTGGGTCAGGAATCTAAGGGGTATTCTGGAAGAAATCATCAGGTTGAAAACATTTTGGGAAAATTGTGGTGAACCCAAAAAAAAACACCGCGTGAAGTACCCGTGAAGTTTGCGTGAAGTGGCAAGTTTACCCGTGAAATGGCAAGTTTACCCGTGAAGTACCCGTGAAGTAGGTACCCCAAAAATTCTGAATTTTTGGTGATGATTTTTCGGATGGCCCATCCCACATGTTGGGGAATGCTTCTGATCTGTACTTGCCGCTCTCAGTTTCTGGGAGCAACTCGCAAGGAAACGGAAAAAAGGAATTCCGATTGTGCTAGACTTGTTTCAGTAATCAAAAAGTAATGCAATGAAGATATTGGCACCATTGAAATGTTGATCGATTCTTAACCCTACTCAATCAAACTGCAGCCATTTTGGTGCCAGCCTTCCCCCCCGTGAGACCATGGAGGATCAGTTACAACGTTTAGTTGAGAAAGCAAAGCCTTTAAAGCAAAACGGGTGGAACTGTTGGGGAAAGCAAATCCAGATGAGACAGCTACTTCCCCGACGCTTGAAGTTGACCAGATTGACCGGCATGTATTCATTTTTGTTCCTCAATTTGTTGCTACTTGGAAGACCTGCCTGTTTTCATTTGACACATCCCATTACTTTGGCAATCCCGGTCCAAGTTAGCCAGGAAAAGCGCAGAGCTGCCCTCACCCGGAAATGGAGGCCTCTGCTTTGGGAACTTAATTTTAAACAAATCTCCCACGTGCAGTTCAAAAATAAAAAAATGTCAGTGTACAGGTGGTGAAAGTCATAAGGAAGGACCCAAGAAAAAGAAGATAGTCGTGATCAAAAAGATCAAAGCTAAGAAAGGCAAAGACCAAGTACCGAAAGCCGCCAGGCCCACCACTGAAGGATCACAGAAGGAAAAGGACCAGGACATGCAGCCCACGGAACAGGACATGCAGCCAAAGACGCCAGGTGGGGATCAGGACAAAAATGATCATGACCTTCTCAGCAAAGGGACTGAACGATCCATGGACACTCAAGACACAATGCCGTACGAACCGTATGAGGGTGCCTACTCGCAGTGGCGTGAAGAGGACGAGACCAATTGGGACAAGTACCAATGGCCACCTGTTGGGTGGCGTCCAAGTAAGTGGAACCAATGCTATTGGGACAACACATCCAAATGGCATGTATATCACTCTTATGACTGGGATGCCTACAATGCCCAACGAACGCCTTGGGAAGATGGACCCAACAGCCCAGATGTATCGACCCCGGCAAAAACAAGTGTTGAATCTGACACCACTTCGCCCCCTGCTACTGTTTCGTCATCTGGAGGAAGTCTTTCCAGGAGTGACTCTGTGGAAGCCCTTGCCAACCAGCTGGGCCGCGCCTGGACAGGTGATCTCGTTGATCCATTGTCGCAAGATCCTGCCGTGGCAGGAGACAAATCTACTGGCCCCAATCTCGGTGTCAACAATGGACAGGAAAGTGAAGTTCAAAAGCACCCAGGACAAGGAGAGAATGAAGGAAAGAAAGATGAAGGCAAGGAAGAAAAGGCAGAAAAGGCACGTGCAGGAGAACATGAAGATAAGCAAAGCGAAGAAAAACCAAAGGAAGTTGACAACAAAGAGAATGCAAAGGAAGGAGAAAAGGAAGGAGACAACGGAGAGAAGGCAAAGGAAGGTGAAAACGGAGACGGAGAGAAAAGAAAGGAAGGAGACAAGGAAGAGGCGATGAAAGTAGAAAGTAACCAAGAACAGCCAGGAGATTCAGGAGGTGCCCCGGCACAGGAGGCAGAGGATGAGGCAGAGAGAGCAAGACTGGAGGAGATCGAAGAAAGGAGAAAAGCAGCACATGCGAGGTATATGCGATACTTCAGAAATGTGCGAAGCATCAATCTTAGCCTTAGCCGTTGGAGTTCACAATATATGTGGATCACATGTACTTATTCTTAGGTCCTATGATGTCCTATGTAAATTACTGCACATGCGCGCGTGAGCTAAGATCCTTCGACACCACCTGAACTGAGAAAGATGGCGCAGGCTGCCCATGGCAGTATCTTGGTTGGCCCAGTGAGTTCCAAGCCAAGAACCCCTATATAAAAGGTCACAAGTCAAGTTTTTTTTTTTGAAATGATATATCGATCTTGATTGCAAATTAGATCTGAGATTCTCAGCATGCTAAGGCAAATCTATGAACAGTATCTTGTACGATGCCTGGGCGTCGTGCAGTGAGGGCCAATGGGAGAAGAGCAAGTTTCTTGTTTCCATCAGGGAACGCCACTCGACAACCCGTCGAGGGGTCCGCAAGTGGCTGACTGCTCCTGAAATGGACACTCGCTTTGGGGCAGAGAACGGAAACCTTATCAGAAATCGGAAGCTCCTTGACCCTGAATTGAAAGAACGTGAGACCAGAGAACACCCCGAGCTGCCAGGGAACCAGGACGGCCGGTGGCATTATGATTTCGAAAAAAAACATGTCAAGAAACTGTGCTAGCTATAGTGCAATCGTAGCTTCTACTCACTGATGATCATATCCAGGAGATGATGCAGTTTTTGACCCTTGTTGATGATGCCCATGAAGAAAGCCACGAAGAAGAACTTGACAAGCTGTACCAAAGTTTGGATGAGTCGGACTCGTCCAGTTCGTCCTCGTCTTCGTCTGATAAGAAGAAGAAGAAAAAGAAGAAGAGTAAGAAAGACAAGAAAGAAGACAAGGAGTGATACATGCTTTCATTCCTGGATCTATGTATGGTGGTAGTGTAGGGGTACATATTTATCCACTCTTGAGGCAGAAAAGGAACCAGAAAAGAAACCCAAAAAGAAAAGCAAAAAAGCAAAGAAAAGCAAGAAGGTCAAACAGGAATCCAAAGAGCCGACCGCAGAAGAAGAGCAGAAAAAACATGATGCCGAGATAAAAAAGAAACTCCTCAAGACAGCGAAGAAGGCCACCCCTCCAAGTTTTTTCTTGCTCTAATCGCTTAACCCGATTGTCCGTCAACCCTTGTTTGGCCAGGCCTTGAGTGACGCCAGCAGCAAGATCAAGTGGGCCCTTGACCTGAAGCCGAATCTGTCGTCGCTGTGTGCGGCTTAGCTCCCATGTCAAAGTGCTAATTCAGTTGAGCCCCTTAATCAAGCTCCTGTCATGCAAGGAGTGATCGCTACGCAAGCTCTGTGAAAGATGACGTGGAAGAAAAGATGTCCAAGCTAGAGGCTAGACCCACTAGAGCTTCCAACGACATCCAAAAAGAAACCATTCAGTCTGCTGGCAGGATTGCCGGACGACCCTGCAAAAAGCTGTGGAAAGTTCCGAGGTGCGCTTCAACTGTCATTGGGATGGAACTAATGTTTGCGCTGAATTGCCAATTAACTTTATTCCATTGGCTTTGTCAATTCTCCCGAATCCAGTTGTCTAAGCACATTAGAGTGAATGGTGATTATTTGGTTTCCTGGCCAGGTTACAGAGGCCATGGTGGATGATTGTGGGAATGCCCGCAAGGACCTGGAGATGGCCTGTGAACCATTGAAGATGAAAAAGCCAAAAAAGGCTTCCAAGTAGGTGCTAGGTCGAACTTGCCCAGGTATTAATATTCTTCAAATGTGATCACCCCAAATTGTATACATTTTTTTGGTTCGATGATATTCGTGGGGCAAGGGTGGCAAACCAAGTTTTGACATTTTCCGTTGATGTCTCTGAGAAAGGCACTTAGGCTTGCTCCGGCCACAGGGTGTCAGGGGCCCAACCTGGGCGTCAGATTGACCAGGTTGCTTGAGCGGGGGACACCATTCTGGCCGTGGGTATGCTTAGGAGTTGCCACCTACCTAGCTCTGAACCGCTGTGCAACTAAACTACAGAACTTCAAGGTCTTAAAAATTTGCACTATGGGGAAATTTGATTTGCATCAGCCAAGCTGCGGTTTCCCAGAGTTGACCAAGAGAACAGTACATCGAGTATCATACAGTACAGAGTAAACTACTCTGAAGCCATGGTCCTACTGTGGCCAATACAATGGAAGCATTCGAGAAGACAAAAATGGCCTTCGCCTGGGTGCACACATGTATCTCCTACCACCTTGACAGCTAGGAAACAACCACCAAGAATTTTAATCTTTCAATGAGAACCCTCGCAGGTGATGATGTTGGAGCTGGCCCTTTAGAAAGGGAACTTGCCGAAAGAATAGCTTCAGGTGACATTTGTCAGCAATATGATATGTCAGAAAAACACGTACTGGCTACATAGGTTATATACTTACCACCAATCCATATGTCCCAAGTTCATCACCTGGCGTACCACGTGCTGAGGACAGCGCTGCAGCAGCCATGAGGTCAGCAAGAACAACCTACCAGGACAGCCGTGATTGTCTGCAGTTCTCCATTGGTTTGTCGGGAATGATGCATTTATTTTAGGCTAAATGCCTAACTCAGGAAGCCAAAGGTGGCACAACTGCATTTACGGCCAAGCTTGCTGGCTATAAATTGGGCAGGAACCAATCTCGAGATTATTTCAAACAAAATCCACTCCCGATTGATTTCTTGGCTTATATGTTATTTTTAGTTTCGTTTTAGTTTTAGAGATGTTGGAAACATTGTCAACCAACCCTTAAGTAGCATTTTCATTTTCCCTTTTCACAGTGATGTGACTAAGGAATCTGAAATGATCGAAGTGGGGGTCACTTGTGCTGATGGTTCTGCAGGGACTATGAAATTGCCGGTCCAGTCTCCATCGAAAATCTTAGAGTATTTGATTCATCATTGTGGCCTCCACCTGCCAGACTCGTTGGTGGCAAATTTTTGGGAACATCTAGACAACATGGGGGATGAGTGGGCTTTGAGCACCAAACGATTTCGCCAGGCATGTGCACAACAAGTCTGGCCTGTGGGGATCTATGGGGATGAAGCTTGCATTGGGTTGATCAACGCACCCACCAACCAGATCTATGGGATTGTCTTGTCCTTGCCATTGTTCCGGCCAAAAGTGACAAGAGTTGCAAAGTATCTTCTCTTCAGTATTGAAAGTGACAGAGTGCTCAACATGCAGGCAACGCTGTATCCAGTTTTTCGGTACATTACTGACAACTTGAATCAGCTGGCTGAAAATGGCCTGAATGGCCGTAGGTTTCTAGTCAGCGAACTTCGGGGAGACCAGGCATGGTTTCGAAATATATTTCAACACGCATCCTGGTGGAGAAAAAAAGAGGTATGTTTTCGTTGCCAAGCCTGCACAAACCAAAACCATTTGAACTATTTACACTACGATGACTGGATATCTACAAGGCGTAGCACTGAGGAATTTCTTTTTGAGGAGCTCCCGCAGGAGATGTGTGGCTTGAATATATTGGAAAGGATTTATAGTTTTGAGGTGAGGTATAGGTGATTTTTGGGATGACAAATATCTACTCAAGTGGCAATATAGCCCCTCTTATTCTTTGCGGAATTAAATGGGCCCCGAAGAATAGTGTTTTCAGAGTACGTAGGTCTCAAAGACAGAACCATTTTTGTTGGGGGTGGCCCTATTCAATCAAGAGCAAAATTACCAACTTCAATTTGGGAATTACGGGCCCTAACTCAATTAACTCTGAGGTCCTTTGGTGGACCTTTACTTCTTCCACGTCTCTTTGATAAAACATTGTACGCTTCATATTCTCAACCTTGGTCTTTTGGGGGTCAGCAATGGTTCCACCTTGCAGCCTGGCATTGGATTACTTCCTCCTAATATGAAATGACCCTGAATTATTGCGGTTTTGGGAAGCCATTCATAACGGGCATTTAATATTAGGGGGAATGTTTTCCCGCGCATGTTTTAACTCTATTTTTTCGATGGGCAAATTGAACATCCTTTAGCCTTTAAAGGGTATTTACTTTTACGGGGAATCTTCACCACCATCCAAGGGGTATGCTTGTCCACATGCACGTCTGGGGCCGGTTGGATGACGATGATGATTGGCCCAGGGTTTTGAACGCAGCTTTTGATGACTTTGTCCAGTGGCGCAAGATCCACAAAGTTCAGTGCTCCCAGAAACGCTTTACATACAAGACCGTAAATCGCAAAGACTATGGACACTTTCTCAACGCGAAAGGCTACAATGCGAGAGTATTATCTGAATGGCTGCTAGCCAAGATTGTTGAAATCAGAGCCAACCCAGGGAACTTGATTCTGGATGAGCGTTTTGATCTGACTGAATCTACAATGATGCATGGCCCTGATTCAGACTAGGGGTCACATGCAATTTTGATATGTTTATTCCCTTACAGGTAGACATAATTTGGTGCGGTATTATTCAACCATTTACCTGGTATTTATCATAGCCCCCAAAATGTACTAAACAAAATTGTGGATATATGGCCGCCACTTATTCTTGTGGATGCCAGCCCATTAGATCCTATCCTATCTATCCTCCAAGGAGGGGTGTCAACCGGTACTTTGGACTCACGGAGCGGGCCTCTCGGAAGTTGCAGCTCGCCAGCAATGATGCCGCGGCCGCGGCTTGCACGGTGCCACTAGGCCATGGGGAAATGTGGTAATAATTCTGATTATGATAGGCCTTAGCATACATTGTACGTATTGTACGTATTGTATATAGCCCTAGAAAGATTTAGACCCTGATCCTTCCCACGTCGAAATTTAGTTAATTTATATTTGAATTAAACTACAATACAACAATAGGAACCCCAACCATCCGGTTCTGATAAGGACCCTTGAGCAATCTCAGCAAATTGAAGAAGCTGGAAAAGCTTATTTGGTGGGGTACCGGAGCCTCAACTACATGAGTACAAGGACTCTCTGTTTCAATTGGTTGAAATTTCAACTATGCCCCCCTCACTTCAAACATCTTCAAACCCCTACATGTTGGAGGAGTGGCATCCTGGCTTGGGTATTGGTGCCAAAATGGCATGTGGCTTGGATAGCGCTTTAATTTGTGTATGTTCCTCTTTTTATAGCATCGTGACTGCATTCCCACACCTAAGAGAGAAATTAACTTTCGCGAGGCTTTTGCGCATGTGCTGGTTGACTACGTGAGGCTGCTTCGACTCTTAGCTTAAATTCAAAACCTGGCATTCCCAATCATTGAATGCAACAAAAAACTTCTGTGCTGACAGCCTAGGACAAAACCCTCGATATGTGCACACTTTTGGAGATGAAGATATGATGATGGTTCTCAAAGGACTGATTGAAATTTATTGTTTGTGTTTGCTGTTTTAAGTGTGCTTTCAATGTTTTTCTTGAGGCCTCTTGTCTTTTTTGCAGGATGGGCAAAAAATGTGAAGTCGAAACCGCGCGAAGTTGGAATCTTGAAGCTTTCTCGGATGAGAATGAAGACTTTGCAGTGGCGAATTCCAGAGCTCAGGGGACACAACCGCGTGTGAAAAAACAAGAGCGAGGTAGAACTTAGCACTTCATGGGTAAACTTAACATTTAACGCGACTAGCAAGTTTAACTTAACATTTGCTTAAGTGGTAAGTTAAACTTCGACGTGGGAAGTTCAGGGTATATATATATATATCCCTCTCTCTTCCTCCCTGTCTTCCTCTTGTGACCGTGTCGGCACTTGTTCACACCCCTAGTGAACCTTGAAGCTGGAGAAAACGATGGACAAATGATGCACTTGTCACTTGGATTTCGATGTGAAATGATGTGAATCATGTCGCCCTCACTCCATACCTGACTCTTCTGCAAGCGCTGGTATGCACCTTTCGATGGGCCTCAGAGTTCAAGGCAGCTCCGGTGATGTAAACGCAAGCGAAGGATAGTCAGCCAGTCAATGTTCGCACAAGTTCGTGGCAGGAAATCACCAAACCAGCTGGAGATCGGAAATTGCCTGCCGGATTCCAAACAACAAGGGCCAAATAAATGCATGCAGTATCATGCAGTATATTCTCTTTTGAAACACGGTAGACGGATTGAAGACTGTCATCAACTAGCATGCCCGTGACCACGCTGACTGAGCAACAAAACGAGACCCTGCATCTGCCCATGATGGCCCATGATGGCGCATGAGTCGATGTGACGCAAAGCTGGCAGTGGCCTATGCCGAAACTGCTGGAAGCATCGCCATGATCAAGGCCTTGGGTTATTTCCATTTATTTCCCATCTAAAACACGTCGGTGCTGCTGTTCAATCTGCGAGCCTTGAAGCAAGACCAAACGAGTGACTGAACAAGTCTTCTGAGGGCAGAACAAACACGCCAGGCCAATTGAAATGGGTGCACTGGCCGGTGGAGCTCAAATTTCCTCAGCATGTCGACAGCAATGCCTATTGTGCACATTTCAAACTGAACTAATCAGCACGTTTAAAATTCCAAAGGAGCAAACTGCAAATTGGGCCTTCACGATCCAATGTTGATCACGCAACGAGACGTTCGAAATCTTTGAAGTTTGAGACATCAGTGGGTAATGTATGGATTTAAATAGATAACTCCATATGTGAGTGGGCTGGGCTGTGTCGCACAATCCCTGTGGGTGGCAAACAAAGCGGGTACTGGGACAGTAGCTCCAGCATGTTCCACCCACCACTGAATCAAATGTCTCTTGAGCATCCCGACTGCTCCACCTCTGCAGTGTAACTTTGGGCCTCTCGCGCAGCAAACCAAAATGGCATTCAACAAGTTGCATCTGACAAGTGGTATAAGACTATAAGACTCCAAAATATAGAATTCACGCTGAATTTGAATGGTACTCCAAACTCGACCAATGGTGGCACAGGGCAACTGGCCTGGCGCGACCTTATCTGCACAGCATTTGGGATCCCATGGATTCCAATGAGTGTCCATTGCTTGGAGTTTCAAACTGGTGGCCGACAAAGCAAACAATAATATACATAATGTACATACTTCATTATTCTCATATATAATTACAAATTAATAAATATTATATTATTATATATGTGTTTTGAATTATATATGATGGGCAAAAACAGTGTCCCTTTCAGCTCCACCAGAAAACAACTTAATCAAAGGAAGTTGGGAAGCAATCTTCCGAGTTTTGGATGGTTTTTATTCAAGTGAATTTACATCACATGACAATACAACACATCACAACGCATCACATAACAATACATCACATCACAATACAACACAGAACAATACATCACAAAACAATACATGACACAAACATCACAAAACAATACATCACATCAAAATAGACCACAGAACAATACATCACAAAACAATACATCACATAACAGTGCACCACAAAACAGTACATCCCATAACATTACATCACATCACAATACATCACATGACAATACATCACATCACATGACATCACATAACAATGCACCCCAAAACAATACATCACAAGAACGCTACATCACATAACAGTAGATCACAGGCTCCGAGTAGTCCGCACTGTCATGGCTGCTTCGATGTGTTTTGTGCGTTCTTGCACATTGCAGTTACATGATGTTACATTGTGTTTTGTAATCTTTGGTTGCAAAACGTATTGTAATTAGTGGCTGCATGACTGTTGCATGGGACTTGTGTTGGGGAGGAAGCCGGAGCGCGAAACATTGTGTGTGCAGCCGGCGATGAAAGGCAGCTCGTGTGTGAGGCGGAGATCATCATTTGGACCGGTGAGTTAGTTCTTTGTATGTGATTTTTTTACGAGCAGGAGAAGGGATAAAAGTATAAGGAAGAATGAAGGAGTGAGACATAAGGAAGGCGTGGAGATATTCTGCACTGTCTCTACGGTGATCGGCAATATGTTGGGGCTTGCCCCAGAAATGAGGGCCAATGTGATAATGAGATGGATCAAGGTTAGTATGTAGACGGGAGCTTAAATCTCCTGCCAAGAGAATCTTCTTATGGTGAGGATGAGAGGCAAGGATAGTATCTAAAGTGGACCAGAAACTTTCTTTGCGTTCAAAATCTTCGTCAGCATTGGCAACCGTGCTTGGGGCGTACAGCGTGTAGAGGATTGTCACAAGCCCCGCAGTGTGGGTGTCTAGTTGGGCAATTCTCTCGTTGTGGGCAATGTGGGTAGAAGCAGGGGCTTGGGTTGAAAGCACTCGTTGAGCCATGCGGTGCTTCCCTCATAAAGGCATCAAACAGCCCTGGTGCTTAGGTCGCTCCTGCAAGGGGTTCGTGCTTCAGATTTCTAGGTGCCCAAGCCCAGGAAAACTTTGGCGAACTTTGACTGGCCACTGGAAGGTATTCTTCCCGTTGCCAAACCTCAGTTCTGAAGAAAGACCAAGGCAACACCATCAAGCCACCAACACCATTCTACTTCAATATATTAAGAATCAGCTAGCAAACTGGAACCCTTGCAGTGAATGGCATCTCAATGCCGCACTTTTTTTTGTTCTCTCTGGTGCTGGTTCAAAGTGAGCAAAACTTCTTTGTGCTCCACTCCACCTCTTCCACGTGCTGGCTTGCTATGGCGTGCTTTTCTAGCAGATTCTAGCTTTGATCAACCTTGCCCGCGGACTTCTCCTGCTAAGATTTTCCTGGACATGTTTTAATCATGTTTTCGGATATGTAACATGTACATGTACATGTGCTTTAATAAAAAAACAACAACAACAACAACAACAACAACAACAACAACAACAACAACTCATAATCATAAACAACTGGGAATTGATCTTGTGAGTGTCATTTCAAGGGGTTTATCCTACCCACATCTTCCAAAATATCCCAGGACTGGTGGCAAGAAGTTCGCACAAATATCGAAATATCCAAAAGAAACATCAATAAAGATGAAAAAAATATGGCCTTATATAAGACTAAGTGTCTCTGTCCACTGCGGCAAATCACCCAATGCAATGGTAGCTTCATGCATCTTGTCAAGAGCCTGAAGCAAAAAACACTTGGATCAAGTGTGATAGCTTGACGCCACAGTGAGCGAGGTCTGGTAGAAATACTGACATGGATGCGTTTCAAGAAGGTAGGTGACCGGTGACCTAAGGGGTTCAACTATTGCGATCTTCATCTTGGGTGACTTTTTCTGCCTCCAAGCTGGCAGCTTGCTCAATGCGCTTCCAAACGTCCAAGCGGAACTGTCTGTGTCTCTGCCAAACTGCAGGGTCGTCGCTGTAGCCCGGCACGTTCCAAGGCAACGTGGCGTCAATGCCCAGAAGGCGCACGCCTCGTAGGACAAAAGGATACCTGAGCCAACACCGGCTACGGGGGCACAAAAACGTTTATAATTATTAAAAAATATACAGTACAAAGATTCAGACCAAACAAAAAAGAAAAAACAACAAGCCAACAGGCAGATAAAAAGGATACGTACATAAGCTAGCTAAAACATTGCGGTACAAGCCAAGATCTCCGATCCAAAAGCACAGAATGAAAGCTAGCAGCTAGGAAGGCTTGGAAATCCTTTACGAGTCCAAAATCCAAGTCCCATCGTCCCATGATACAAGATTCAAGTGAAGTCCAAGCATCAAGCTGGCCTCCAGGGTAGCAGCTCCAGCAACTCCAATACAAGCTGCTGCCCCCTGGTAGCGAAGCTGTGATAGGGCTGTGCCCAGGGCCGGGCTACCAGCACAGTCCAGGACAGCCGACCACTTCTGATTTTGTAATGGCCTTGAATTGCCTCAGCTGCGAAAAGGGACCGTATAATGCGTTGCTGTGCAAGCTATTTGGTTTGCTCCTCTGAGAAGTGCCTCCTTGACTGATATTAAAAGCCAATCTGGCAACCAAGGCACTTTCCAATGCTCCAATTACATCCTCGTACAAGCTCATATTGGGGGAACATGGGAAAACACCAATCACAACCATGACCTCTTGAACACGAAAAAGGATTGCAAAACAAGCTGAATCAACCAATGCAATTCACTTGTTGTCATTCCCGGCATCTTCTTTGAGAAATGCAAACGCAATCGCATGCGTGTGTATATATATATGTGTGTGTGTGTAATGTAATGTAGGGTGTGCCCGAACAAAATGACTCAATTAACCGAGGATCATGCGCACCGAGATCCTCCAAATATGTTCCTGCTCAGCGTGTCTTATGCTTCAAACCGCTACTGCAGCCCCTCAGGAATCCTTATCCTATCCTTATCTTCTCAAGTGGGGTTGGAAAAATGGGCGGTAAAAATCATTGAGGAATGATAAATAGTAAATCACCAAGTCTTCTTACCTCTGCCGACAAGTCATCGTGTTCAATGCTTGACAAGACTGTGATTGGTCTTAGAAATTCACGGCTTGACATGCTTGGCCAAGAGTCGAAGCGATTCAGCGCGCCTGGAGGATGCCACCACCTGATGTGATTAGAATGAAACTACAAACCATCAGCTTGAAAAAATGGAGGCGCACGACTCTTGCTGTCAAGATGACATCAAATTCCCATGTCCCACCAGTGTCTCACCTTATAACCTTGTGATGCCAATAGTGACACTGCCATTGAGCCAGCGCCACCAGCAGCACCCAAAACAAGGACAGGCTCTGAAGCGTTAGCCACAGAGAGACCACCACAAGTCTCCAATTCCATAACCTCAGCTCTTCAAAAGTCATCTGCCAAGCACGGCACCATGCAGTTGCCTGTATTATACATGTTATGAAAAGGTTTCGGCCCGAATACCTACCAGAGGTAAACCCGTTTTCAACCAAAGATCGGGGTAGTGTAGACACGCAATGGCATTCCCCATTTTTGGTTCATTGTTTCCTTCCACTGGTGACCACATCTCCGGTGTCTTCGAAGTGCAGAGCGAGCTGGATGCGAAGCTCTACTCCTGTCTTCGTCTTCCCAGGCAAACTCCTGTGTTGATTGAAGGTGCGGAACTTATCTTTGGCAAGATTAGTCTCTATGATGCTTTGGTGTGTAACACAGAGGACGTTTTGATGCTTTCCATCACACATGACTCATGGTGGACACATGTGCCTGACTTGGGGAATTGCCTTTCTCCATGCCTCATTGACCTGTGTGCTGGAACAGGGGCCATGAGCATTGGAGCTTCCTTTTTAGGAGCTGTTCCCATGGTTGCGGTTGATTGGAATCCTTTTGCAGTAGCCCAAATTAGTGCCAATCACAAAGGGTCAGTTTTGCAGTTGGACCTTTCGGCGCCTGATGCTGCCAAGCGTATCCATCAAGAATGTCAAGAACCACCTGGCACGGCTCTCATGGGATTTCCATGCCAGCCACATTCTTTTCAAGGATCCCAACGAGGAACTGCAGACCCACGTGCTGAAGTCCTATGGCATGGACTTCACATTGTGTTTATGACCCAGGTCCAGACACTGATCCTGGAGTGCACCCCCGCTGCAGGTCAAAATCCTGAAGTTCGTGCAGGTCTTGACCTACTTGCTGATGCCATGGGATGGGTTGTCCTAACCACCACACTGGACCTCCAAGACCTATGGCCATGCAGGCGACACAGATGGTGGGCTCTCCTCATCCCCAAGCATTGGAATCAAATTGGCCTCCAACCATGGAATCTTCAATCTCCTTTCGATCACGTGGGGGCAATCATTCCCAATTGGGGCTGTTGGACTCTCTCAGAAGAACTTGAACTTCAACTGACCCAGTTTGAATTGGAGCGATTCCATGATGTGCAGTATGGACACGATGTGAGACTTTTGGACTTGCAAGGGAAAGCCTCCACCATTTTGCATTCATACGCCAACGCTCTTGGACCTTGTCCATGTGGCTGCCGCTCTACAGCCTTTCATGAAATCACTTTGCGACGAGGGGGCCTCAGAGGATTTTATGTCATCTCCAGAAAGACAGGATTGCCACGATACTTGCATCCAAAAGAAGCTGGTCTTTTGTTGGGCCTACCAAATTCGACTCAATATCCCAATGACTTGCGTACTAGTTTGGCACTCCTTGGACTTGTAGCTTCGCCAATCCAAACCTTGTGGATCTATGGACATCTCAAACAGAACCACTCATTGACCATGAACAAAGATCCAATGCCAGCCGTTGAAGATTGGATGTGGCTTTACCTCCAAGAACTGCTGGCACAGATCAACTTTGACTTTGGGGATGCCATTCCGCCGACCCATACCATTGCAGTTCATGCGTTTGGTGCTGCACTGGACCTCTCATTGAGCCACAATGGTGCGACAGTTCAACAACTTCTTCAAGCTGAACGCATTTCACTAGGCTGGAATGAGAGTTGCACTATATGGGCAAACAACCAACGATTGACCAGAGCTGACAAACTCCTGGAATACTTCACGGGCAATCTGGAAATTCGTTGTCAGAGTGGCCTACCAAATCGAACCATGCCACAGCAGCCAATTGCCCTAGCGGTGCAACACAGAGGGGAACTTCAAGTTCATTTTGTACAACCGGGGCGCTTTCTGTTCGAGATCTTGGCTGAGATGAGCTTGCCATTGATTCGCAAAGTCCTTGATGTACGTGGACACGTTCTTCCAGTTGACCTTCGAGTATGGCATCCGATGAGTGTCATCACACTTGAAGACCAACCTTGGACCCAACCACAGGGTCATTTTCGCTGGGCAAATGGCGGTCACTCAGCACTCAGTGGACTTCACGATGGACAAGTTTGGAATGGCATCCTTTCTTTGCTTCACGAGACTCATCATCCAGCCAAACATGCACTCCTGATTCACCCTGCACTTGCAGCTGCGATTCAACATGATTGGATTACCATCTTGCACTCGAAACAGCTGCAACTGGATTTTGCAAATTCCTCCGGCCACATCATTTGCATCTTTGAATCACGAGGACATTGGACTCTCTTGTGGGGCGAATTGCACCATGATGGACTTCATTGGATCCACAGCGATGGACTGCTCTATGTCAATGCGACAGAAGCCTTGGACTTGGCCAGCTCCATCTCCAGCGTCCTGGGTTTGGATTTTTACCCACCATGTCATTGCTGCTGCACTCCTCAGATTGACCTTCACACTTGTGGCACCATTGCGCTGGTTCATCTTTATCAGTTTTTGACACCAGGCACTTGGATTTCGCCTGAACGTGTATGCCAACTACATGATTGGATCACGCACCAGCAGTCCACAAACGGCGTCATCTATGCAACTGGGGTCATCCATGAATGGCAAACAGATCAACCACGACTTGGTCTCCATGAGGAACACATTTGGTTTGGGATGCAACAACTCCTTACTGCAGCGGATAGACATGATGGAACATTGCTTGTACTTCATCCAGCGCAAGTCCATGAACTTTTACAAGGTCACCCAGCCAATATGCAACTGTCACATCTGAGCGCATCCTTTGAGGAGGAGATAGCTTGCATCTTCGCAGCACAGGGGCACTGGACTTTGCTCCACGGCCGCCTCATTGGCCATGTGCTGCTTTGGACTTACTATGACGGATTCAACATCAATGAAGATGCGGCATTCCACCTTGCCAAAGTGTTTGTGGATCTCCTTGGGTTTGGATTTTACCCTCCACAATTGGACTTTGGACTTCCACAGATTCATGCGCACACTTGTGGCACAATCGCTTTGGCAAACTTCGGGGGGCTTCTGAACCTTGGATTTGTGGTTCTACCCTCATCCATTTCTCTTGTACACGACTGGCTCCTTAGCTTGTCACTTCCTCAAGGGAGCACAATTGCCTTTGGGCTTACTACTCTCAGCACGGATCAATTTGCCAAGTTGACAGCTCTGTTGATTGCTCATGGAGTACCTGAACCAAAAGCCGCTGAACGTGCCAACCAGGCTATCCAGAAGCTCGGAGTCCCTGCTATCTTGGCAGCCTTTGTCGCAAAGAACAACTGGGCTCATCTCAAGCAACAAGCAAACAAACCAGGGATCACCTTTCGCCTTGTTCAACCTGATGAGCTTGCTCAGCATGCTGAGAAGAATGCGATCACAAAGTACGGGGCAGGCATCTCCAATCACAAGAACAAGAAGAAGCAAGACAAAGTAGCTTCTTCGACACCCACCTTTGACCCTGAGGCACTTGTCCTGCAACAAGGTAACTTCAAAGACTCAGATGGTGACGAGGTTCCTCAGATTCAATTCAGCCAAATTGAAGCTGAAGCACATGGCATTGCCATAGCAACTCGTCAACAGAGTCTTCAATGGCTGCAACAACAGGACTCCATCAGTGCTTCGGCACTTGCGCTGCTGGTTACTGAAGAGCTGCCACTGGAGATGCTGGAAAAATACAATGCCACCAAGGTTTCTTTTCCAGCTACCTACAAAGGCACTGGCGAACCGGTCCTCATCTTCGGCACGATCAAGAATTTGGGTGACCAAAAAGTCAACAGACACATGGCAGGCAACCTGACTCAGATCGACCTGGTCGACAATGTCGTTGTTCGACTCCATGTGTATCGTGATGAACTCCAACTACAATGGACAGAATTGATTCAATCTCCAGTGCGGCTTTTACACAAGATGCTTCCACCGCTCCAGCTCTGTGCCGGGCTAGGATGTGGAGCAGAGTGCCCCAAAACACACCAACCAATTGGGGAACAACTTGAGTCTGTGATCATGGAAGTATGGGGCAGGTCCTTTGGACGCATTGAAGGGGGCCGAGCTCCTGCGAATGAGGCTTCATACTTTTCAGTTTTTCTACGAATTCCTGCCACAGTGCTCAGACCTTTGCTCCAAACCTCCATTGCTGGTCTTTACTTTGATCCCCGAAAAGACCAACAACCTGATGATCAGTTCAGAGTCATCTGGCTGCCCTCACACTCCGCAGCTGAAGCATCTCATGCCAACAAAACATGTGCCAAAGCCCTTGGACTCGTACGTATGCGACAGAAATATGGAGTACGGGTTGCGACTGAGGATGAGGAGTCTGTCTTCAAGCAGCTCAAGCCTGAAGCCACTTTCATTGCGACCAGGGTGCAACGTACTTTCCAGTTGTTTCCCCTTCCTCATGGACTCCAACGCGCTGGATCAAGATCTTGAACGACCTCAAATGGGTTGCCAAACCTTTGCAACCGGGCCGTGGACAGCAGGCTGGAATCTCATGGCAAGTTGGTTCTTCAGAGCCTCCTCCTACAACCATCTTCACAAGCTTTGGCAAAGAAGTTCTGATTACTGAAACCACCAAGACGCCAACTGCCACACGGCCGGTGACCTTCTTGGCTTCAAACAAGACCCAACATCACATGCGCACTGAAGCCACTACCACGGCAAGCTCCTCCTCAGGCACAGACCCATGGCTTGAACCTACGGAAGACCCCTGGAGAACCTGGAAGTCGCCAGCCAGTTCTGCAGCAGCGCTCAAGCCTGCTACTGGCAAAACACACCTCGCTGAGATGAAGGACCAACTGCGAGATGAACTTCGAGCTTCCATACGCAAAGAGTTCACCGACCTTCAGCAGCACAAAGAGGTTGATATGGAAGACTCAGAGCACAATGCCAATGAAGAGCGTTTTCGCAAGATCGAACACACCATGGGCGAAATTCAAGCGCAGCAAACTCAGTTCAACCAGTGGTTCACTCAAGTTGGGCAGGCTACTTCTGCCACGGAGACGGCTATCCAGACCATCAACTACACTCTGAGCACTCATCAGCAAGATCTTCAAGGTCTCCATCAAGAAGTTCAGAAGGTATCTGATACCTTCAGCCAAACCCTGCAGAAAACGCTTGCCAGTCATCAATCCGAGATGTCAGCGGACTTTGCTACTCGCTTTGACAAGCTTGAGGCCATGTTCGCCAAGAAGCAACGCAGTGAATGACTATGGGGGGCGGCGTTTTCATGTGGACTTGGAAAACGCCATAGCCTGTATCCTGCAGGTCCTCCTCTTTTTACAGGTCTCTGTCGATGGATTTTCCTTTTGATGGTCTTTCCCATCTTCCTGGTTCAGAGTTCCAGCATTGAATCAATGGACTATTCCAATGACATCGAGCCCTACATGTGTTCCTTCGATGTCCAAATGCCCTTCTCACCTTGGGACACAGGCTTGAATGGACTACGAATCGGTGAAGCACTTCACCCAGGACCAGAAGGTCTGCTGACTATAGGCACAACGAACCCAGGAGGACTCCGGGGAAAAGAACTCCTTGCTGTTGAACAAGGCAGCGGAATCTGGAGTTACTCTGAGACACAGCTCCCCAAAGTGACGCAGCAATCAGCGGCCAAATCTTTGAAGTGGCATGCTAGCCAACAAAGTCGTCATCTACGAGTCCATTTTGGTGCACCAGCTCCACTACGAGCACGTTCCTCATGGGCAGGTTCTTGGACTGGGGTCGCATGCACAAGCGATTTTTGTTCCAAAGCCTTGCAAATTGATTGGCCTGATGAGCTCTGGGCCTCTGGCCGTATATTGGCCACTCAGCACTACGTCAGTGGCCATGTGATCACCATGGTCAGTTTTTATGGGCTTCCTCGTGGTCCTACTTGGCCAAAGGCAACCACATTGACGAATGACTTTTTGAATAGTGTCACCAAAGAGTTCGTCATTGGATTGCCTGGCATTGTCATCATCGCAGGTGACTTCAATTTTGGACCACGTGAGCTACCCTGTTTTGACACCTGGCGAGCTTATGGCTATCAATCGGCACAAGACATGGCTCATGACAGGTGGGCACAAGCTGTCACGCCAACCTGCAAAGGCAGTACTGAACGAGACCTGCTTTGGCTCTCACCCATGGCATCGGCTCTTTGTGCCAAAGTTGAAGTTTCTGAAGTTTTCCATGACCATGCATCACTGATGGTTCATCTAGATGTTGGCATGCTACCTTGTTCTATTAGTACTTGGCCTCGTCCGAGAACAATCCCATGGGAACAAGTTTCACTTCAAGAATGGCACTCTTCATGTGACACCATTCAGATCCCTGACCACTCAGACTCGACACAGCAGCTGATGGAAATCTCCAAATCTTTCGAGCGTTCACTTGATGGCTTTGTTGGTGAACCACCAAGGGGTACATTGTCGTCTGCGCACTGTGGGCGTGCACAACGACTTCATCCTGCCAAATTAACTCCTTCACCCAGAACATGCAGGGCGAGCCGACCGGGCGAGGAGCAGTTGATGGCAGACACAGTTTGCAAAGCTGTCATTGTTTGGTTCAAACAACTGAGACGCTTGCAGTCTTACCGGCACGCCATTTGTGCTGGTCAGACCCATCTAGCTGCAGTACAATACAGAATTGAGTTGTGGTCAGCCATCCGTAATGCCCGTGGGTTTGAGGGCTCTTTCTCTGAATGGTGGCTCAAACAGGATTTTGCAGTGTCACTTGGAGCTCTTCCATTGACACCTCCAGGAGAACAACATGCCATTTTGATCTACCAGGCGTTCCATCATACTTTTAGACAATTTGAGAAGTGGCACCTGTCCCAACGACAGCAAATCTTGCAGGCCAAATATGACAAGACGATGAAGGCCCTTTTTCAAGATTTGCGCAAGCCTCGACCTGACCAGGTTGATTCTTTTTGGGTTACCCACTCCTTTGAGATTCTAGCGGTTAGGGCGGGAACAAATGGTGTGCTTCTGAACAAACCAGGGCCTGTTGATCAAGTTGGCCAATGGTACCATGCGGGCAAACCTCTCAAGATCAAGGGCATGGTTGAAGAACTGCTTGTTTTGGAGCCTCCGTTGACAGTCTCTGCGGGTGATGTCATTGAGTTTCATGCTCATACAAGCACCACAGGCGAAGTTCATGCAAGTCTCATCAATTTTTGGAAACCACGCTGGCAATTTGAAGGCCAGCTGAGCGAAGATGTTTGGCATAGAATTGCAAGTTTTGTACAGGCGTTTATGCCTACACTTCCTTTGACTTTGCCACCGTTGACTGTGGATGACTGGTTGGGCTCGGTTCGAAGGTTTCGACCCACAGCAGCACGTGGAGCAGATGGCTGGGCAAAACTTGACCTTTTACATCTCCCCACTGCTCATACGCTCAAACTCTTGGAGCTCTTGACTGCAATTGAAGATGGCAAAACCTCTTGGCCGGCCCAACTGCTTGAGGGTTTAGTCATAGCCATTGCAAAAACAGAGGGAGCACACAAACCCAATGAGTTTAGGCCAATAGTCCTTTTGTCTATCATCTATAGATGCTGGGCTTCCTTGCGTTCCCGGCAGATGTTGCTGATGATTGAGCCCTTTATTCATGCTGACGCACATGGCTTTTTACCCTCCAGAGAACCAGCACAAACTTGGTTACAGATTCAGGCCGCTGTAGAGCTAGCTCTGCAGTCACGCCAACCATTGGCTGGCATTGGCACAGACTTTGTGAAAGCATTTAACTGCATTCAACGTGAGCCCTTGTGGCAACTGGCTGAGGCGGTTGGGATTCCGACCAATTTGGTTCATCCTTGGCGAACGTTTGTGGCCCAGTTCACCAGAAGATTTGTAGTCTGCAACCAAGTTAGTGCTGCTCAATTCTCTACACAGGGTTTTGCTGAAGGCTGTCCTCTTAGCGTACTAGCAATGACGTTGGTTGATTGGGGCTTCCAACTTTATCAACAACATTACGTACCTAGAGTACGTCACTTCTCCTTTGTAGACAACATCTCGATGATTTCTCACGAAATTCACCAAGTCATTTGGGCTTTCTTCACATTGCGATCTTTTTTTTTGTCTGGGGCCTCACACTGGATTTGAGCAAAACCTATGCATGGGGAACTACGACAGAAGCCAGACGCATGATTGCCCAATTAGGAGTACGCATGGTTGAAGATTTTGGCGAGCTTGGTGGAGCTTTGTCCTTTACAGCTTCCCATAGAGTGCGCATCTTTTTGCAGCGAGGGGAATCACTACATGAGAAATGGCAACAACTTCGGAGATCTAAGGCACCACTTTGCATGAAACTGTCCGTTTTGCCCATTGCTTTTTGGACACGGGCAATGCATGGCGCTTTGAGTTGTCTTCAAGCTGAAGTACATGTTCATAAACTTCGTACTACGGCAGTCAAGCACATGGGATGCCAACTTGCTGGCTCTAACCCCATCCTGCGACTTTCACTGTCGAGACCAATGACTGCAGACCCAGGTTTTTATCAGCTCAAAACTGCTCTCTTTGATTTTAGGCGACTTTGCTTTAAGAGCCCAGACCTTCTCTCTATGTGGCGTTTTTTCATGAAGCGTTTTTCTGGAGGACTGTTTGATGGCCCTTTTTCGAAACTGCTGGCCTTACTCAATGGTATTGGATGGGAAATCCTGGAACCACCAATGCTCCGCGACCATGATGGATGTGAGTTTGACCTTTTCCAACTACCTCGCGGGGCATTGGATCTACTGTTGCAAGATGCATGGTTCCAGCATATCGCTACCAGAACCAACCACAAGACTATGCAAGACCTCACTGGACTTGACATTGCTTTGACTCGCCTTGATCATGACAAGCAGATAGCAGCTGATGTAACACGTGTCAAAGCCCTTCAAACCGGAGCCTTCGTCTCTGGATGGCAACATGCGAAGTATGACACAACAAAACAACCTGTGTGCCAACTTTGTATGCAACCGGATACCCAAAAGCACTGGCTACGCTGCCCACGATTCGATGAGTTGCGTGCAGAGTGTCCTGACCTACTCTCTTGGATCGACGATGCTCCTTCCTGCGTGGTGCTGCATTTGCTGGCTCCTAGATCGCCTTTCGCATTGCTGCTGAAGCGCTACTTTCTGGACCTGCCAGACTTGAGCAAGTGCTTTCATAGCCTTCCTAGGACCGGGATTAGAAACCAGTTGTTTACTGATGGTTCTTTTTTCAAAGGGTTTGTTTTTAACCTGGACAGAGCTGCGTGGGCTGTCGTGAATGCCAGCACCAACCAGACCATCAGCTATGGGTGCGTTCCTGGCATTCTTCAGACGATTGGCAGAGCTGAACTCCTGGCCATTATTTCTGCGGTTGAATGGACTGTTGCTCACGACACCCTGATTACTATTTGGACAGATTCGGCCAGTACCTGCAGTAGAGCTAATCTTCTACTTCACCAACCACGGGCTGCATTCCTCGCGGGCGAAAACCATGATCTCTGGCAGCGATTAGCTGGGGCGCTTGAGCGGACTGCCTTTGAACAGGTCATCATTTGCTGGACTCCTTCACACATTGATGTTGCATGCTGTGATACCTCCCAGGAGGAATTTCTGGCTACATGGAATGACATTGTGGATACCCTTGCAGTGACCACTAACAGGGACCGTGGCTGTTTTTTTGCACAACTGGCTGAGGAAGCAGAAGCCTACTACCAGCTCTGGCAACACCGTCTGCAAAGTTTGCGGAAGTTTTACTTGAAGATTGCGGAAGTCAAGAAAGAAGAGATAGACACAATCGACTTGACCTTTGAACCTGCTCAGGAAATTCAGCGAGTTTCTGACACTTCACTTGGAGATGCCCTTCCTGTGAATTGGCAGCATACTCTGAGACACAGCAGTGACGCCTTGAACCGGCCTTTAGAATTCATTTTTTACTCATTTTCGGTATGTGTGGCTGAGGAGCCCGCACAAAACCATTTTGTTATTATCAGTTTCATCGAATTGACCTTGTGGTTTGTACAAAATCTCAAAGCACAGTTTCCTTTTGAGAAAACCACGAAAGGCAGTTGGATGTACAAAGCTGTTGATGATCTTTTACTCAAACCAACACTGGCTTCACTTACTGCGAAGCTGAAACAGTGTTTTCTTTATGGTTTGAAAACTCTGGGACTGAATGATTTTGTTTGTCGTGGTGTTGTCAGGCATGAAGCTGGCATTTCCTATCCTGTTGACGGTTTGCTTCTATCGATGTCACCAGAGATTGCAGCAAACATCTGTGCTGCTTCTGCAAAGTTCTTTGGACCAAGGATGCTGCGAAAGGCGGCAGACTTGGCAAAACCTGTGGCGTAGACACGAACCAGGCCGCAGCTGCTCTGCATGCGCTGAGCACTGCTGCCAGAACGGTCCGAGCTATACATGTTATGAAAGCAAATGAACACAGTGTATTTGTGATGGCGACTTGTGGGTTTATCTTGAAAAACTGCATGATTTTTACATTTTGTTTCCAGCTTCAGTGGCCATCTGCATTGCAGTGAAGCCTGCAGTGCCAATGATCATGCACTCCTGGGAAATACATCTGGAAGATTCTGGAGAAATCAGGAAAGACTGAATTTTGATCACTTCGATGTCCAGAACCAAAATACTCCAAAAGTCCAACATCTATATACTGATTCTGTTCTTATCACGTGATATCATGGGATTGTTTTCACATGTTTTCACACTATTTGTACATCTGAAACCGTCTCAGCCATTACAAAGCAGCACTCTGCAGCTCCTCTAAAGTGAAAGCAGGTGGCTTTGGCACAAGCCATTCCGCCTGCACTCGACACAACTCGCTGTAACCACCATCACAATGCTGGCCAATCTTGTTGCCTCTCGCACTCGGAATGAAAATACTGAAGCAAATGAGAACGGATTAAATACATAATTTATATAATATATATAATATACATATATAATATATATATTGTAGAATTATGACAAAGGGTACTAGTGGGGTACAACGGGCATCCGATGCATGCGAGCTTTAGCCAAGTTGCCCGTCAGCACCACTTCATCGCCAGCATTGAAGAGCGAAGAGCTGCTCTCTTGTACCACCCCAGCCATGTCGATTCCAGGGACGATGGGAAAACTTCTCACAACACCATGCATACCTTTGAAAATCATTGCATCTTTGTAGTTCCTGAGATGTCAAAACCAAAGCTTCACAAAGAAGCAACCACAGCAGGAAAATGCGGCAAAAGCAGGGCAGAGTCATACTATCACGACAAGTAGTGCCAGTCACTGATCCCAGCTGAAACTGTACAAGGCCATAATCAAAACACAGAATGAGAAGTACAGAACCAGAACCCGAACAACCGTACTCCATACAAGGGCCATGGAATGCCATGGACAGGCCCCTGAGGCGAGAAAAAACGAGGAAACTGTGATCACAACTAACTTAATCTCTAATTGATATATCTTACAGTCTTACAGATTTCCACCTAAATTGCAAACAGCTATTCTGCCACATGATGCGTCTGGAAAACTGAAGGCAAACAGCTCATGTTCAAGACTCAAATCGCTGTACTTGACCTTCACTGTCGCGGATGCATCTGGATCTTGCTGTGGCAAGGCGGAGACTTCTTGAAAGTCCTTCACCTTCCAAGATTGCCGGGTCTTATCTCCCTAGTTTTGGTATGTGTTGGTATTCCTTGAAGTGGGGGGCCTAAGATGGCCTAAGCCTCTGGGGTTGCAAAGATTCCACCACATTCATGCCTTTTCTGGCCTTTTCTGGCCTTTTGTTTGCAAATCTGCCCCGCCTCTCTGGACTTCAACTCTCCCTTCTCAGCATCGACGACCCAAGCACGAAAGCTGCGCCATTGACCCAAAGGGCGCCATCTAAGGCCCACATTGGCTGCAGAAAGACCAGCAAAGGCATAACGCGCAGCACGGGCCATTGACTACTTTCGTTCAACTTAAAGGTTGGTGAAACATTGGGCAGGTCAGACAGGAAATTTGCAGCGAATCATACTGTAACCATCCGGCCCGGAATGCACCATTCTAGCATTACAAAGGCCTTATAAAGTATGGACTGACTGAGAATATTGATAGATTTCTCGGTGACCACTTGATTTTTGATCATCCTCCATGTTTATCTATTGTAGTTTATATTATGTATATATATATATATTCTAGTAGTGCATATATTGAAGCATTGTGGTGATGGACATCGTGATAATTCATGTGCCAGTGCTTTTTGTTGTCAATGTGATTGCGTTGTTCAAGAGCTGAAAACAAGCGGTTTCAAGGGAACCAGCTTCCGCATAAACATTGCATGCTGGTTGATTGCGTGTTCACGGGCAATCAAGGCCATTGCAAGACATTATGTTTATACTGCCACAAGAAACCGGAGCCTGGATCAAAGTGCCATGTCCATGCACGGTGCTCAGCTCTTTTCCTACACGCGTGAATCCCTCCTCGAGCTGTGGTACAGCGGGGATTTACCAGCCTGGATGATGTGTCATGCTAAAACCTCTGATGTTCACATGAAATGCTGCTTTGACACTGGTATACTTTTCTGTTAGCTGACACATCTTTCCATGCATGGTTATCGGCCCCTTCCTCAGCACTCTTGGCATCAGTCAATGCCACTACCGGGTCTTGTGCCCACCTTCTGAAGGCATCTCTCAACGCCGGGCTTCTCTTCGTCAAGGCATCTGCCTTTTGCTGCTCCGTTGGCACCCATCTCAGCGCGCGGCAACTTTGTCTCAGCGCCGCCACATCAATCTCCACCCGTTTCTCAGCAAAGGTCGTGCTCAACCTGTGAATTGCGTCCCAGAGCGAGCGCGCATCTGTCACAGGAATCACCTCATACATTGGTGTGGCAGATGTGGCTTTGTAGTTTCCAAAAGTCATCTCGCTGAACACGCAGGCCATAAAGTTGCCAACATCAAAAGCTCGATCCAAGGAAGCGGCTTCAGCAGCTAGTGTCGACCGCAAGATTCTCTGGTGCCGGTACGACTTCCACTCCAGCAAAGATGCCTTGCATGGCTCTTCCAAGCAACGTTTGCTCGTTGCCAAAGTCACCAGGCCGCCTTGGGACTTGTTTCCAGGCGCATTCGCCCATCCACTGTCGCCGTAGGCGATGAACACCAAGTCCTTGAGGTCCAACGGGTTCACCTTGTAGTAGGCGTTGGCCGTGGCACGCGCATACTTCAAAACCTTGTTGACCTCTTTGAGATCGCCCACGGTGAGCTCCTTCGGCGGCTTCTGCAAAAGCGAAGTGTCTGCTGCTAGGTCTCCACGGGTGGTACCTGCCATCCATTGCAAACTGCCAATTCCAGATCTGAACTCCGTGACGAGTGACGGATGGCCACTCAGCTTTTCATCATCACCATGATGGATCTTGGTCAGGTGCACGTCAGCCACGTAGTGCTCCTGGTCGATGTGGAAACTACCATCATCTTGGCGTCTGATTCTTCGGCCCGTGAAAATAAAATCATCACGTTCCCATTCAGAGCCCCATTCAAAAGCTTTCTTCACGGCATCCAAATGATGCTCGTAGCCCTCCAAAGCGCAGCAGATCACGTCATCCACGTGAATGCCCAAGACAGCTGTCACTTGATCTCCGGAAACTTGGAGAAAACAGCATGGATCTAGGCTGTGTTGCCGCCATTGAAGTCCAAGTAGAACTCGAAGAACATGAAGGAACCATTGGCGAGGCGCATTTGCCTGGCCATACACCGGTGCCGTCAAGGCATACAGCAGCAAGGGGTGGTTCCACTCAGGCACAGATTCTTTGGCAATTGGGTCCTGCGGTGGACGCATGTAGATCTGTGTTGGTCGTTCTGTATCAGGTTCTCCTTGAAGGAAAGCTGATTTGCAATCGCCATTCCAAAGCGCCACATTGAAGGTTGCTGCCCACTGGATGATCAGCACCATGGTTGTTTTCGCCAAAACCGGCGCGTCCCTGCTCAGCAACGGCAAATGGGGGTCTGCAAAACCCAACACCACTATCCTGGACTTTGGCTTAAACCAGCGACCTCCATCTTTGGGCTTCCAGCGGTAGCAGATCCTGGACTTCAGAATCAGCTTTGGGTCAACTTCTCCAGGTTGTGGATACACAGCTTTGCAGCTTGACCATTTCAGCCACTCGCTCCACTCATCCTGATTGGCTTGGATGAACTTGGGGCGATCTTCATTGCTGATAGTTCGCCAGGGCGTTTCTTTCTTCAATGCCTGTTTGGCTGCTCTTCCAACATCATCAGTTTCTTCATCTTCATCACTGGACTCAGGGCCTGTGATGGTTTGGTTCTCGGCAAAGTGCACGCTGAAGGTGTCAGGCTCTTCAGCTTTTTGCCATGAGGTCTGTTCCCAGGTGGGTCTGCCAGCTTGGATGAACTGCTCGACATCCTTGATCACCTCGGCATTCACCGTAGCGGTCTTCTTGTCCGCAAGGTCAGTGATGAAGCTGTGGTAGACCTTGGAAAAGTCCTCATACTGGAAGAGAGGTTGAAGCTCAGGTGGAGATCCATCCCAGCCAGTTGTCATCACATTGTGCCGGCCATGACGCCGAAGCCAGTGTCGTTCTTTTCTGGGAATCTTGACCTTCACAAAGAACACCTTTCGCCGTAGTGGTCGGCGGCTTTTTCTCTGGTGCTTGATGAAAAGGGCCTTGCGCCGCTCATCAGGCATTGACCGCATGGTCTCTTCAAAAGTGTCTGAGGCAACGTTGATGTTCTGAAAAATCTCCTGCCACTGCCATTCCGCATTCTCGTTCTGGATGGCTACACTCCACACTGAGGTCGCATCATCCCTTGCATCCTCAGGCAGGTGTCGGAAGCACTGCCCAATGTCCAGCAGAAAAGCTTCACTCTCATAGGCCTCATCCATGACATCAGGGGCAGGAAGAAGAACTTCTTGTAGGTCAGCTCGAGGAAGACTAGACCAGTGTTTCAGTCTAGTGCTGTAGGTCATCTCATCTTGCAGCTGCTCAAAGGCTTGTCGTTCCTCAACTTCATCAAACCAATTCGTCACTTGGCGAGGATCGGCGACGAAGGAGTGTGCACAACAGCGGGAGCACTGTGCAAAAAGCAAATCATGTTGTTGATCTGAGCTGCCGCATTCGCTGCAGTAGGTCGCCAGGGCATCTGCCGTCTCGGCTGGCACTGGTGGTAGAGCTTGTTCTGCAGCAGCATGTTCAGCAACTTCAGTCGAGGTAGGATCTCGTTCAGGCCGTGCAGGCAATTCGGACTGTTCTGCACTCCTCTTCACACCGCGATGGGTCTCCACAGTTGATTGTATTGATGGCCTTCGTCCAACAGTTTGATCAGGTGAAAAAGTGGTAACCAAACGTTCCACTGGCACACCTTGAATTGAAACATCAGCAACAGGGGCTTGGCTCCATTGGACACGATCCTCCAACTTCTTCCATTGGTCGCCGTGATAAGACCAAGTAGTTCGATATTGAAACTGATTTGGATCACAATGTTGAGGATCTGGAGTTGGGATGGTCGTGGCCTTCTCAGTGACACATGTTGGACGCCCATCGGGGTCAAGAAACCAGCCTGCTGCAATGTCTGTTGACAAAACCGGTGGTTGTTGATCTGGCACTGGAAGAACAATGTCCTTCTTGGCAAGCTTGGATCCAGCTGAGCTTGCTGGTTGATCAGCCAGCTGCTTCTGTCTCCTTGTTCTTGGCGTCGGTGGTGCTGTCAAAGGAGTAGCTGGCAAAGCTTTTGGCACAATCACCAGTTCAGGCGCAACGGGCTGAGCTGGAACATTCCGTGCTGGTGCAGCAAGAAGAGGAAGTAGATCATCTCCCTCGTCCAAGGCAAGTTGGCCTTGAGGTTGTCCAGCAGCATCCAAAATCACCTTGTCCTCAATGGCTTGTGGAGCGGGACCTCGGTGATCATGAACTCCAGCATGCTTTGTGGTCAAATCGTCTTCAGCTGAGCGCAGCATCCGTATGTCGGCTGAGGAAGGGGTCCAAAGCTCTTCACCTTCAACGCCTCGAAGCTGCTCTCGAGCCACCTGCACGACTCGGCCACTGTTGTTGCGGATCCAAACTGATCCTGTTGGAGTTGGATCGACACCGATCACGATGCCTTGTCTGTAGCCCTCTGCTGTGCCCTCTCCATCCAATTGGCTCTTCTGCCGGAAGTAGGCAACACGGGCTCCAACTTCAACTGGACCTCGCCATGGTCGGCTTTTCCGAAGAATTGCCTTCCTCAGGGCTTCGGAGTGCTCGTACTGCAAGTACTCCATCATGGCACTGTGACGCATCTCCTCAATGCGCCGATAGCGCTCGGAATCTTCCACCACCTGTTTTGCCTCCACCGCATCGGGTTCAGAAAGGATGGCACTTGGAACCTTGGGAGCACGGCCATATACCCACTGACATGGTGAAGCACCTGATCTGCGCGCCATGCTGTTCTTTGCAAAGCAAGCCATGTTGGCAATCTGTTGCATCTCCTCCGGGGTTGTGGCCGCAAACTGGTTCACCAAGCGCTTCATGATGTGCTTGATGGCCTGTCCATGGCGTTCTGCCTTCCCAAGTTGATAGTGCGCATCAGGCGGCACAAAACGTACCTGCACACCACCTTGTGCCAAACACTGTTCAACATCCCATCCTCTCATAGCACCTTCCGCATCCAGCAAGGCTTGGTCTGGGTAGCCAAAGTATTTGAACCAGCCACGCGCCAACACCTTGGCAACTTCTTCAGAGGTTCTGTTTTCCAAAAGGTCAACAACTTGGTAGGTGGTGCCATCATCCACTTGAGAAAGAAAAGTGTGCATCTGGCTGGTCACGTCTCGCACAAAAATCAAATCCATCATCAACCTGTCGTTGAACCTCTTGGCCTGAAAAACTTTGGCCGGCCTTGCAGTAGTTGGTGGCTTGGTGCGAGCACAAATCTGGCAGTGCAAGTGCTTCGTTGCAAGTAGAGCTTCTCCACTGGCACCAGCTTGTGCAAGATGTCGCACAAGAGCTTCAGTTCCAGGGTGCCCCAAATTCACATGGACCCTGGTAAGCACAGAAAGCATCCAGCGCGGCACACCCTTGAGCCCAGGGAAGGTCACATCTCTGGCTCCAGGTTGATGCTGAAACCACTGTTCTTCTGGCTCTAGGTCAGGCGCTGGAGCGCTGGCAGCAAAAGGTGCTGCGTCTGGCTTTTTCACCTTGACCTCTTCAGGCTTCAGGTTCTCCTCAGGGTCATAGCTTGTGATGGGGGCCTCAGCGTAGATGAAGATTGCGTATGCCACTGGTGTGTCAAACTTGGCACCTGCAGCATCTTTGACATCTGCGACGGCCTCTGATTCCAAGCGAATCTGGCCATTGTTGTACTGCAAAACCGCAGCACGGTGCGTGATTGCCTCACGCGTCATCAGCTGCAAAGGAAGCCGTCGCACTTTGGGAGCTCGTGCGATCTGCACCAGCTTCATCTTCCAAGGAACCAGTTGTTGAACTTGTTCATGAAATGCCGTGTCCTCCTTGACGGTTGCCGCAGTCTGAACCTTGTTGTGGAGTCGATCTGCGGCCTCCTTCAGGAGAGGTCTCCAAGCCTCGACATCCTGGCGGATGTCTGCAAACCAAACTGAGCATTCTGTGGTTGACATCCATGATGACAAAGTAGTCAATGTTGAAGATGAAGTGAATGTTGAAGGTAGAGTCAATGTTGAAGGTGAAGTTAATGATGAAGATGATGTTGTCAAAGTTGAAAATGTGGTTGATGAAATCAATGTTGAAGGTGTCATAGATGTGGTCCACTGAGCATGGGACTCAACGTGCTTGCAAAAGCGTTCATCACCACGAAGTTGTAGTTCTTGAAGTAGGGCACCCACAACAGCTCTGGCGAGCTTCTTCGTGTAAACCTGAGCTCTCTTGGCGTTGGTGCCCAAACATTCTTCATGTTCATGTAGACCAGGACATGGTACGGCCACTGCAGCTAACACCATCGGGAGATCGCTGCACCATCCCGTGTCCTTCTTCAGGAGATAGCCATCATGCCCTCTGAGGCCAAAGTTGCACATCGACCCACGCTTCAGCTCCACACCAGGAAGACGAAGAATGCGTTGTAGTGCCAACTGCTTCCAGAACTCTGTGCCCCAGGGGTTTTCCAAAAGAAAATGGCATCCCAATTCATAGAGCTCACAAATGGTTTTGGCCATCTCCTCCAAATCAAGCAAATGTTGGCGGCGCAGCTCTTCAAGTTGCTCGGCCGTGTAGTTCAGGTGTTGGATGTGTGACCAAGGGTCGCACCTGATCTCCCACACCGTCAGAAAAGGCCGGTTTCGCCGCAAGAGCTGTCGAAGTTGCTCATGATCAGCCCTGGTCTCGATGGCCACACCGTGCACCTTGTCAATGGGCTGCGCCACTTTCAAACCATGCTTGATCCCCTCAATGGAGATGTTGGCAAAACCACCATAAACTTCCAAAAGGTCACAACGATGGCGCCTCATTGCTCGAGCTCGGGCAGCTTGTTGTCCATATAGGTTCGCCTCCACAGTCAAGCACTTGTGCAATGACCTTATAGTCCCAAGGAGGCGCTTCTGATGCCCAGAGCGGAGTTGTTGCCACCCGCGGTCTTCTTTGAACAATGGTTCATCTGCAGATCCTCGAAGCGCATTGGGCCCCAAAGGTTCTTGTTGATGTTCTGCAGAGTGAGGTTGGTCGCCATCATGTTGACATACTTTAGCATGGTGACGAAGTCCATCTAGGCTTCGTCCTCGACCTCGTGGGCCTCGTTGAAATCCTCCTCCTCGTCGGTCATAGGAATGGGGCGTGTCTGCCACAGATGTTCTCCCTGTTCTCCCAGCGTCAATTCCTCCTCCAAGTGTTCCTCGCGTTGTCGGCTTCGACGCCGGCTCTGCCATGTGAACTCGCTCCGGCGAGCTGACAGCTCTTGTTCTGGCTCCATCATGCTGGGTGAGTAGGCCATACTTGGTACCCTTGGTTGATCCCAGCTCGCCATGCTCGCATCGTCCACCTCCAGCAGCTCCTGCAAGTTCTGCTCGGTCAGTCTGGCTGACGTGGGCACTGCAGGCCTGGTCTTGGGCCTGGCCTGACTCATTGAAAGCGACAGCGAGGGTCGCGAGCCAACCAAGGAACTTGCTGACACCCTTGACCGCCCCGTTGATGGACTTGTCCTTGTGGTCTGACTGGGTGCTTGGCTTGCACGGCTGGCCTCTTGTTGTTGAAGTTGAAGTCGATGTCGCCCCAGATCTTCTGGGTGAAGGGCGTAGCCAGTCTTGAGAGTTCCCTTCGGCAAGCCCAGGGGTGTCTTCGCTGAAGGTGATGCCTTTGGAGTGCAAAGGATCAGCGACTTGTCCTTGTCGGTGTTCACCATCCAACGGCCTCCACATTGGTCGCATATCTTGATGATCCTGCCCCCAGCGCCATAGCTTCGAAGTCCAAGAGCATGGTCGCATCGAGCTGGATCGTTGGGGTATGCCAGCTGGTGGTTCTTCTGCATCTGAGCCGCCGTGGTGGTCTTCAACATTGTCACCGCGGTCTGGGGTGGAAAGTACCCGTCCAGCATGGCATCCTTCATGCGAGGTTTCAGGGACGTGGCCGCATACACCAAGACCATCTGCTTCACATTGTAGAGGGTCTCCAGGAAGTTGATCATGAGAAACCTCCAGTTGCTCAGCCATCCTGGAGGGTTCGTGGTCGTCGGCATGCGGCGGCTTTCGAATTGGATCTCGGGCTGGTTGAAGCTTGACAGCCTTGAGAACAGTTGCTTCGGAGCTTTGAGGAATCCAAACATCAGGGATCTGGTTGCGCTCAAACTGCATGGGCCATGTGAAACTGGTGTCAGGCCACTCATCCACTCGAATTGCCAGGTGTCCAAATGCCAAAAACAACTTTGATGTGCACTGCAATGCTTGATAGTACATGACACCCTGACAAATATCTGGAATGGCCCCCAAAGTTTCAAAAGCGGGTCTGGAAAAAAGTGCTGGTGCATCAACATCGACTTGGCTGACACCTAATGTCACCGCGGCACCTCCAAGCCCCGCAGGATAGGCGAATCTTGCTGTTGCAGGAGTACCTTCATGCGGGCCAAAGCTGAAATGACATGCATCTTCAAATGGAACTGCTTGGAGGGGTTGAATATTCTTCTGTTGAACCATGTGCCACCGTTTCCCAGCTACCTGACGTTGACATCCAGTGTCAGCTATCATGATGCCTCCCTCAACCTTTGAAACGTTCTGCAACAAGATCTGGGGATTGCCATAAAGTGGATATGTAACCGCAACATCTTCAAAGTCATTGGGGATGCCCTGATCATTGGTTACCATGAGGATATTCTGAGAAGCGATGTCACCTACAAAAACCGGTTCATCTACAAAAGCTGCAATGGGGTCAGAAACTGCCATCGTGTCAAAAACCTGGATGGAATCAAGAGCTGCCATGGTGTTAACAACCGCATGGGATTCAGAAAACATGTCATACTCAGGAGCCATGAAAAAGTTCTGAAGCCCGTCATCGGCGGTCACAAAGTGCTCTTTTTCCTCCGCCACTGCATGATCTGAAACGGCCGGAGTGCAGGTGACCATCCAGCTTGAGTGATCCACCATGTTGCCTTCGGCATCCAGCACACTGCCAGCTGTTGTTAGCTGAGCTGTATATGTGTTGGAGTGGGGACAGTCTCGAAGCCAATGACCAGGAGAGAGACAGCCTAGGCACAGGGATTCGTCCAAGGCTTTCTTCTGATGGGCCAAATTGCCCTTGTTGGGAAGAGGACTTGGCTTGCCCTTCCCTTTTCCTTTGCTCTTGCCCTTGCCGTCTTTGGATTTGCCTTTGCCTTTGCCCTTGTTGGACTTACCACCACCACCAGACTTGCCTTTGCCCTTGTCCTGGTAGTAGCCACGCGACTTGGTCAACTCAGCCAGTCGCTTTGAAGTCACAGTCAGCGCCTCCACCACAGCAGCCAAGTTGTTGGCGGAGACATCTTGAGGAGCGGCTTCAGCGCCGTCACCAGCAGCTTCAGTCTCATCTGCCTGGTAGTCAGCATCCTCTTCATCATAGGCCACATCATCATATTCGGCCTCAGGTTCAGCCACTGTCGCGTAATCAGCCTGCCAGGCCTCATACTCATGCATCTCTGTGTCGTCATACTCATTGGCGTCCTCATCCACAGTGGTATGCCATGCCTTTCTGCCACGTCCAGGTTTCTGACCACGTTTGAACGAAGCAGCAGCACCACGTTTGTGTGGCAACCCAGTGATGGAAACGCCAGCAGGATACTGGATCTTGATAGCGTCCAGCACAGCTCTCATCTTGTATTGGTTGCCTGCAGCGAGCAAGAGCGCTGAGGTTGAGCGCTCATCCAAGCGAAGCCCGTCCAACAGCTTGATCACACGGCTGGCTTCTGGATATTCAGGCACCTGGTTGTCCCGTAAACGCCTCTCCAGCAAACGGAACCTCCGCACAAATGCGGTGATGCTTTCACCCTGAATCCTGCCAATGCTTTCAAACTCTCGAATCGCTCCACCCTGGCGGAACAAAGGTCGTTCGCCAAAGGATTCTTCTAAATCACCCAGGAGCACCTCGATGCCATTGTCCACGTTGTAGCGGCTGTCATCAAGCTCAGCCAGCTCTAGCTCTGCCTCACCACGAAGCTGCTCTCTCGCCCGCAAAGCTTGTTCCCTGGCGGGCAAGAAGTCCTTCGTGATGAGACACCACCTATTCAACCTCTTCTTGTAGTGCCGCAGACAATACGGGTCTGCTTCCACATCCCCTTCAAACACTGGAGCTTGAGGAATCGCTCCAGATCGCCATTTCCTCTCAGACTGCCTCTGTGCACCACCAGAAGGCCTTGACGACCTAGAGCCACGTGAACCACGAGGTCTTGATCTGGACGATCTTGGTGTAGTTGCATCGGCAGGGGGCTCAACAGCTGGTTCAGCTGGAGGTGGTTGAGAAGCGCCATCTTCAGCGGCTGCACTCTCAGAGGCGGTGGCGCCAAAGCTGCTTTCGTCCTCATCCATCGAGCCATAGCTCAAAGGAACATCTGAGTCAAAGGCTAGGCTGCCCATAGTGCGTACCCTTGAGCACCGAGAGGACAGGTACTCCAGGTTGTACGCTACCAATGCCACAAGAAACCGGAGCCTGGATCAAAGTGCCATGTCCATGCACGGTGCTCAGCTCTTTTCCTACACGCGTGAATCCCTCCTCGAGCTGTGGTACAGCGGGGATTTACCAGCCTGGATGATGTGTCATGCTAAAACCTCTGATGTTCACATGAAATGCTGCTTTGACATATACACCCCCTGCTGTACAGTACTTGGAGTATCAAACACAGTCCTTCAAAAAGCAATGCCTGACCTGGAGACTATGTTCCTCTCTTGCTCCTGATCTGCACGGCTATACAGCTCGACCTGTAACAGTCAATCCCGTGATCTTGTCTCAGCAGGCTTTTGCCATTTCTCTCAGGGGCCCAGACTGAATAAGAAGATGCATGCTTGGAAAGTCCAAGCCTGGAAGCAGGGGCAAACAAAGCCACTTTCAACCTTACAAATTCTTACAAGGCTTGGCAACATAATTCTACAGTAATTCTTTTGGACATGTCAGGGTTTGGGTGCAAAGGCCGCTGCAAAATTCAGCAAAAACACAATGACCTTTCACTAGTCACTGGCGAGCCACGACAAGAATCACTGGCAATACTACCAGAACTGTATAATTATAGGCCCCAGAGTCCAACCCCCTGGCGTATTGTTGATCCCCTATCAGTGACCTGTGCCAGAAGCACATGGTTGCCAAAATGCTGGTGCAATTGGTCTTTGATTCATCTGGCCCCCACATCAAAGCCTCGGCAAAGGCCAAAATTCTTGGCAGCGGGCTTCAAGCCTTTTTCTTCGTTTGCCTGCATCCAAGGGCAGCCGAACTGTTCCCACAACAGCTTGTAAATATCTGACTCAAATGATAGCCTGCCCCACCAATCTCAATATATATGCCTAGGTCACTGGCAATATACACTGGCAATATTCAAGTATAATCATCTATAATCACATGTCTGTAAAGCTTCTTGCCAATGGTATCCGCGCTGAGGATGCAGCATGCATCAACATGACAACTTGCTTGTCTACATCCACTTGTCACTTATGGCCCCGTTTCACGGCCTTTCAAGTCCTTTCAACTTCAGTAAAAAGTATCTTGAAGCTGCTCGTCCTCCATTGTCCTTTCATACCCTGCCTTCACCTCCTCAAGGAGTTTCAGTAGCTCCACTTTCTCTTTCTCATCTAATTTCTCCTGTAGCAGGATGCCAAGAGCAGGCCGGCACTACCAAAGACATCCAAAGCCCGTGAAAGCACTTGTGGGATGCTATATAATGCAGCCAAACAAAAGTAATCAAAACCAAAATGAGTAAGACTACATTAAATTAAGATTACAGTAGTTAATGTATAGATTGACATTTCGCTTTGGATATATTTGGACCCTTGCTGCATCATATGCCTTTGAACCCCGCTATTGACATTCCTGCTGTGGTTCAAGTGTGTTGACACTGCGTTGAAGTCTATTGGCAAAACCATGCAAAACCTGGATTCTTGCGTTCTTGCCGTGTGCCCTACTCTGTCATGTTTCCTTTGTCATCAGAAACATGGTACGTTCTGCGTAATCTTCCTCGTTCGACCGGTCGTTCCTGATGTGGTGATGCTCCCTGTTTCTCTGATGCTAGGCTGCTAGGTCTGGCATGGTCTGGCCTCATTCTCCAGCTCCTTCACCTTGTTGTAACAGAAGTCCAGGGCCTTTTCAGGAACAGATCTGGCGGAAACAGCTTCAACGCGTTCAACGGGTGCTGTGCAGGTTTGAAAGGCTGCTATGAAGAGTCTGAAGAGCAAAATGCAAAATCACAAATAACGAATCACACGCAAAGCTTGGCGTTCAACAACACTGCATGTCACTGGCGTTGGTAAGCAGTAATTGGTTGTGAACTGCCGTCAACTTGGCACTGGCACAGAGGGTTCTGGGCCCTCACCTTCCGGCGAGCTCCAATAGGACTGGACTCAGCAGGAAACTCCTGGCACGGTGACGCGTTGTCAAATCTTTCTTGGCAGTGCGACTCAATTGACCCCACAAGGAAACGAGGTGGCACTACTCCTGATGGCCCTGTGGATCCCTGTGGCTTTCTGCCCTTTGAATGGACATCGAGCCTGCAATTCGAAACCAGTGGCCACAAAAACGACCCAAGTACGACCTTAGTTGCTGAACTGTTCTCGGCTCAAACCTTCAGCCATTGAATGAAGACATTGCATTGCTTACTCATCGACCAGCGTCAACGCTCTTTCCTGCTGGTTCGCTGAGAAGGGACAAAGTAGTCGGAAACTGTCAAAGCAAGGACAACGTTTTCAAAGGGCCGAACGATCTGCTTCATACCGGATTCTCAATGGCTTTTCAGCGGGCCTCAGTTTTTTTTTGAATCAAAGGCCGCAAAAACGGAAGACAAAATGCATTATCATTGTTCGAGATTCCTTTGCCACCTTTCACAATGAACGATAGTATGCAAGAATTGTTTATAATTGTAAATCCGTATGCAGTATGCTCATTTTGTTTGTTTATTCATGTTCATGCTCGTCCGTTCTTCTGCTGTCTTTTAAGCTGCTCCACTCAGGTAACCCAAAAAAACACACACAACCAAAGATCTGTGGTTATATATCTGAGGCGTCAAAGATCGTTTGTCCTTTCTGGCAAGTCTGAGGCTTGGGCTTTTCTGCCTGACAGCACCGAGTAGAAAGTTGGCAGGTGTTTGCGCTAAAACGTCAATCTGTAAATCAGTATAAATCAGTACTGTTCTATCTGTACGTACTGGACAGGCACTTTGAATGATTATCTTTGAGCTTCGTCCTGTCCAACATCCCAAGTCCAAGGACAGACCTTGCTAGCGGAGAACATTGACCCGCCATCACGGATCATGGGGTGATACGGGACCTGAAAATACATGAAAACGATTGAACAAATTTGAACCAAAAAAAAAGTCCGGGAAAATCCGGGAATGTTTTTTCAGCTTCATGCTCTTCAGTCGGGAACGTTATACTGTCATCCAGTCCTATCCCTCTATACCGACAATTACCCACAGAAGAAAGCCACCACAGAATCGTCACCGTGCCATTCTCCAGCCTCTGCTGATGTGGGCATACCATCCTGGTGACAGAAATGATACAGAATTGTTCTTTCTGCTCCCATCGGGTAGAAACAATATTGAGGCAATCGCATTTACAATCAGGATCCAACCGTCCAGTACTTTTCAGATTTGATAGATTTGTTACTGGAAAAAGATGCAGGTCTTCCTGATTTTGATCAGTCATTGACGGCCTTGACCGCATCCAGAAATGCCTGGATTATCCTGGATTATCCTGGGTTATTGAATGCCTGTAGTAGATTTGAATAGATTTGAGAGCTTGCCAGATTGGCCATCGGACCATCGGTCTTAGCATGTCTTAGCCCAGCACGATCTCTTTGAGAAAGTCCGCAAAAGCCGAGTCCTGCAGGAAAAGTCCCACAAGCAACAACGCTTGGACCCTACCATGGTCGCCATCCCTGCCCCACACAAGGAACCTTCATTTCCACGTCACCAGAGGTGGCCTCACAACAACATTCTGAAATGATCACATTAACTAAGATTCTTCAGAGCTTTAACGCACAGGAAACACATCTTGCATTCTGGTGCGCACTTGTGTGTGCCACCGTTACTCTTGGTTTCATGTCTAATATCTCTCTCTCTCTCTACTCTCTTCCTCAAGATAAAACAGCGCAACGACAAAATGCAGTAACATTTCGCAAAGTATGATGGGCATGTACCAGAAGTTTCAACCACTGAACATGTTCTTGGACATGAAACCAAACTTAGGAAATATCATGACAGCAATATTGCTCAGACCGCAGCTGGATGTATTTTGTCAATCTCACTCAGAAAGTCCATGAACCTGAGAGGTCTATATGCACTGTGACTCTTGTGGTGGGGTTTCTATCAAATCTCTCTAGCAGTATGTTCGTATTTTACAGTAGCCCTAAGACATGCTGTTCGTCCCGAGGAACAGCTTCCAAATGCTGTACATTTACAGTTGACAGAGCATTGACTTGACACAAGCAACATAAAAACCACATCAATTGCTTGGAATTTGCTCGTATTGCTCTCAGTGTTCCAAATTCTAAACAGACTTGGAGGCAACATGAGGCAACAATTGCACAGGCTGATAAATTCAGTGCTGCAAACTGGGCGTTGAACGCATCACCCTTGGGCTTGTTCAGCGTCTGTGGATCCAGCGCAGAAAAAGGACAAACGAGCTTAAGAAAGTGATCACATTATAGGACTTTACATTCATTCATTCATTCATTCATTCATTCATCCATGCATTCATTTCATTTCATTTCATTTCATTTCATTCGTTCATTACATAAACCCCTAAATATGCCTAAAGTCAGAATCGGATCGCTCCTCGCGGAGCAAAGCCAGGAGCTCTTCTTTGTCTTCGGGTCCATCAGGGATAGTTCCACCTGAATTTCGGGCAGCAAAAATGGGAACCCGATCCACACCTGGACGAAGGAAGGAATGGCCCAACAAATTGCCACTTTCTACCAAGGGCCACATAGTACCACTTCAGAAGTTGCAAGCCATTGCACGCCACTACATTGTTACATGTTTGTTTGCTCAAAGCTGTGCTCAAGCATTTGTTTTTGCAACTATGTTCAAGAAAACGATGCTCTTATGTGTATATATATATATACAGCAGTATATTTCCATGTATTTCCATGAGCATACTCCAGCCTGCATCCGCGCCATGTATTGGTTATCCAAAGAAGTCCAAACCAACGCAAGTGCTACAAGGCTAAACTGCTATAGATAATGAAATCATATGAAATCGGCTCAAGACCTGCAGCCCGCAAGCGCCGCTTGATTTCCACCACCTCGTTCGACCAACATTGCACAAAACGATATATACAACATGATAGAAGCCAAGCTAGCAAAGCACACATCTGCACAAGTTTGGGTAAAAAAAA